AAGGCTGCCACCGTGTCGTCCTGCGTCATCCAGCTCATCATGGCTCTCATCATCGGCTCCATCTTCTACGGCACGCCGGACGCGACCGTGTCCTTCTTTCAGAAAGGCTCCGTCCTGTTCATGGCGATTTTGCTCAACGCGCTGACGGCCATCTCCGAGATCAACAGTCTGTACGCCCAGCGGCCCATTGTTGCCAAGCATGCTTCGTACTCCTTCTACCACCCTGCCTGCGAGGCCGCGGCAGGCATCGTCAGCGATATCCCCGTCAAGTTTGTGACCGCCACTGTTTTCAACGTGGTGCTCTACTTCCTGGCCAACCTGCGGCGTGAACCGGCACAGTTCTTCCTCTACTTCCTCATCACGTATCTGAGCATCTTCCTCATGTCCGCTGTCTTCAGAACCATGGCTGCCGCCACAAAGACTGTGTCCCAGGCCATGACTGGCGCTGGTATCCTGGTCCTTGCTCTGGTCATCTACACGGGCTTCACGATCACACCAACGGACATGAAACCCTGGTTCTCCTGGATCCGCTGGATCAATCCCATCTTCTACGCCTTTGAGATCTTGATCGCTAACGAATTTCACGGCCGCGAGTTCCCCTGCTCGAGCATCGTCCCTCCGTATCCCAACCGCGCGGGCACCGACACGTTCGTGTGCACAGTACAAGGATCGGAGACGGGGAGTCTGACAGTCAGTGGTGACAGCTTCATCAAGGCCAACTACGGCTACACGTATGCACATGTCTGGAGGAATTTCGGCATCCTCATCGGGTTCATGATCTTCTTCATGGCATGCTACATGATCGTCGTGGAGATTAATTCGACCAACGAAAGCACGGCGGAGGCGTTGGTTTTCCAGCGGGGCCACGTGCCAGCGTATCTCCAAGAGGATGGCAAGGGTGCATCGGCAGACGAGGAGTCCTCTGCGACGGCAAATGGAGGGGTGGCATCCGGTGAAGACAAGAAAGAAGCGCCTACAAAGGTCCTCCCGCCGCAGCGTGATGTCTTCACATGGCGCGATATCGTGTATGACATTGAGATCAAGGGGGAGCCGCGCAGGCTGCTCGACCACGTATCCGGATGGGTCAAGCCTGGAACGCTCACGGCTCTGATGGGTGTCAGCGGTGCGGGTAAGACGACGCTGCTGGATGTGCTAGCGCAACGTACGACGATGGGTGTCGTGACTGGCGACATGCTTGTCAACGGGACACCGCTCGACGCGAGTTTCCAGAGGAACACGGGATATGTCCAACAGCAAGGTATGTAACCAAGACACGTCGGAGTGGTCACGACTGACAAGGCCAGATCTTCATCTCGAAACGTCGACGGTGCGTGAGAGCTTGCGATTCAGCGCCGAGCTGAGGCAGCCCAAGTCGGTCAGCCGCGAGGAGAAGTACGAGTTTGTCGAGGAAGTGATCAAGATGCTGGGCATGGAAGACTTTGCCAACGCCGTCGTGGGCGTTCCGGGCGAGGGCCTGAACGTGGAGCAGAGGAAGCTGCTGACCATTGGCGTGGAGCTGGCGGCCAAGCCCAAGCTTCTGCTCTTCCTCGACGAGCCGACTAGCGGCCTGGACTCCCAATCGTCCTGGGCCATCTGTGCCTTCCTGAGGCGCCTGGCTGACTCGGGGCAAGCGATTCTGTGCAGTATGAAGGCATTCATTCCCATTGACTCTTGACATGTCCGCTAACCTGATGCAGCCATTCACCAGCCGTCCGCGATTCTCTTCCAGTCCTTTGACAGACTCCTCTTCCTGGCCAAGGGCGGCAAGACTGTCTATTTCGGTGGCATTGGCGAGCACTCTCGCACGCTGCTCGACTACTTTGAGGGGAGCGGCGGCCGCAAGTGCAGTGACAGCGAGAACCCGGCCGAGTACATCCTGGAGATTGTCAACCACGGCACAAATGACCAGGGCAAGGACTGGCATGAAGTCTGGAACGAGAGCGAGTACAAAAAGGCCTCGCGGGCCGAGTTGGATGCGATTGAAGCCGAGAGGCGAGACCAGCATCGACCGGAGGCGAGCCCCGAGGAGTACCAAGAGTTTGCCATGCCTCTCCGAGCGCAAACCTGGATCGTCACGAAGCGAATCTTCCAGCAGTAGTAAGTGCCTGTGATACTTGGGGCGGAGTTGACCATGTGCTGACGTGTTTGTAGCTGGCGGATGCCTTCGTACATCCTTGCGAAATTCCTCATGGGCATTGCTTGCGGTCTTTTCATTGGATTCACCTTTTACCAGACGGGGCGATCCCTGTCGATGCTGCAGAACACCATCTTCGCCGTCTTCCTGCTCACGACAGTCTTCTCAACCTTGGTGCAGCAGATCCAGCCGCTCTTCGTCACCCAGCGATCACTGTACGAGGTGCGGGAGCGGCCGAGCAAGGCATACTCCTGGAAAGCATTCATGATAGCCAACATCATCGTCGAGATCCCTTACCAGATCTTCACGGCAGTCCTCACCTTTGCGTGCTTCTACTACCCCGTGCTCGGCGTACAGAGCTCGCAGAGACAAGTCCTCGTCCTCCTCTACACAATCCAGCTGTTCATCTACGCAAGCTCGTTTGCGCACATGACCATTGCCGCGCTCCCGGACGCCCAGACGGCCGCCAACATTGTCACCCTGCTCACGCTGATGAGCATCACCTTTAACGGTGTTCTCCAGACGCCCACCGCTCTGCCGGGCTTCTGGATCTTCATGTACCGCGTCAGCCCCTTCACCTACTGGATCGCGGGCATCGTCGGCACCGTCCTGCACGGCCGCCGCGTCAAGTGCTCGCAGCGGGAGCTCTCCCTCTTTGAGGCGCCCGCCGGCTCGACGTGTGGCGAGTATCTGCAGCCCTACTTCAGCAACGGCGCGCCGGGTTATCTGGTCGACCCGGGTGCCACCTCGTGCGAGTACTGCACGGTCACGGTCGCCGATCAGTATCTCACTGGCTCCCGCATCTACTGGAGCGACCGGTGGAGGAACTTTGGCATCATCTGGGCGTACGTGGTCTTCAACATCTTCATGGCCGTGATGCTCTACTACGTCTTCCGGGTCAAGAGGGTGAGTCTGGGCAAGCTCTCCATGCCAAAGATGAAGAAGCTGCCGTGGGTGAAGGGGGCTTGATGCGGGCAAAGGTGATGCCTAAGTAGACTGACTATTGAGTGGACCTCCGGCTCTGGTCGGAGGTCAGTGATGTGATAACTGCATATCGGTGCAAAGGCGGTTCGCCGTCCTTTGAGCCCATCCTACATTCGTTAATCTTTTTTTGAGCATAGTAATTTAATATTTTTCGTTAGTTTACATCTACCGTATTGACTCGACGAAGTCGCCAGCGCTGGTGAGCAGAATCTACCCACCTGTAGTTGCATACAAATAGCATGCATGGCTGCAGTATAAAGACACAAGTCTTTCTATATCCCTGCGTAGCTTTGAGCTCAAGCCTTATAATACTCATAGCCTGAAATCATTGCTCGACATTGACACCACCCCTGACAAGGATATTGCCCAAGATCTCATGGACCAACCCCCAGCCAGGATTCCCCGCGAAGGGGTTCCTCAATGCCGAGATTCTTTACACGTAATTAGGTACCTTATGGAAGTCAATTGAAGATGTGATGCCTTATTGGGTACCTGAGCTGAAAAAGCTTCACTACCTCCAAATCTTAAGCTCTTGCCAGGTGTTGTTTGTTTACTTTACCAGGTACCTCAAAGGAGTCTTCGGCTGACTGTCGCCCTTGCTTCGCTTTCGTCTTCCTACATCACACATACAAAGTCCCTTATTCAAATCACTGCTATGGATCAACCAGCCACCGTTCGCGACTTGGACGTCTTCTACGAAGCCATATGCGATGAAAGCTCCTGAACCAGGACAATCGAAAACTCGGTCGTCTTACGATGGCGCCATCCAAAACCAAGACACCACATCGCAGTGATTTTGAATGCTTTCATCCGGGTTTCCCAAAAGCCCTGGCCGGGACACTGCGTTGAGGTAAGTACACTGAGCCTCTATATTTGTGTAGATTTGCTAATGCTTTATGGCACCTCCAAGCTAGTGTACATGCTGAGACGAAGTCGATCGTTGAAATTTGGGCGGCTGTGAGTACATGTACCCACGCATTCTTTCCATTTGATTTTCTTGCGCTCATATCTCCAGGCCATTTCAATCATGATGATCATATTGCTCACGATACGGCACGTTTTTATTGATCAGAGTGAAGCGAAGTGGTGCGTAGGAACGCTGATTCGCCACATTCAGTTCAGAGCACAGTGGATTTCCCTTTTTGGCCTGTTTGATACAATAAAGGTTTCTATAGACGTAAAGAGCGAATGGAACGATTCCACACATGCACTCTCACTATTCCTACCAAGCATTGGCACGAATTTGAAGCGAGGCGACGCAGCTTGTGGGAGCGTCCTCGAACAGAGCGTCGCCGCACAGTTATCCCGACTGGGCAGGAGAGCGAATCATTGCCTCTTGGAGCAATGCTTGGCTTCTGCAGACCCGGCACGTGGTGTATTGTGTGCGTTTTCTGGATGAGTATTACTATCGCATAATACAGCATGCTTCAAAGTAGTTCTCGAATGAAATACCAGTGGCCATGCAAGCCATCTACGGCAGAAGCCATCGGCTGTTGCTTTTCAGTTCGACCAGGCACTGAGGTATTGAGAGTTGAGGACGGCAGTTTGCTATTTGCCAAAGGGAGAGAAATCTGGTAAAAAAAGAACGAGCTTCCAGTGAACATCGCTCGAACCAGCCCCAATGTGCTGTCCTCTGTGCTCGCCCGTGGCAATGCGTGATCTGCCGCTGGGTACAGGGAGCTAAGCGATTAAGCAGTGCCGATCACTCCACGCAGTCGAGCCAAGACGTAGACAGGATCATACCTCGCATGTAACCCATGGGTGGCAATCGTCAGATTCAACAGGGCCCGTATGAATATATAAAGCCCACGATGGAAGCATCCAAAAGGCTATGCACAGCCAACAGCTCCAATACCACACCAGCACCCAGCACTCAGCAATTATGAAGTTCTCCACCATCACAGCCTTCTTCCTGCCCGCCGTGGCCATGGCATCGCCCGTTAGCCCCGGGAGCACCGTCGTCAAGCGCCAGACCGCTGTGACGGACGAGCTCCTCTTTAGCATCAGCCTGCCAGCCTTCATCACCCGTCGCAACGCGCGCGATCCCCCGAGCCTGGACTGGTCCTCGGACAGCTGCTCGTCGTCACCAGACAACCCGTTTGGCTTTCCCTTTGACCGTATGTCAACTTGAACCTCCCACTATGAAATGTACTGACGGCGCGTAGCTGCCTGCCAGCGCCACGACTTTGGCTACAGGAACTACAAGGCCCAAAGCCGCTTCACCGACGCCAACAAGCTGAGAATCGACGATAACTTCAAGTCGGAGTAAGTGAAGCAGTGGAACAAGCGGGATACTTCTGAAGCTGACGGGGACAGTTTGTACGGACAATGCGCCGGCGAGGGCGCCCAGGGCGCCTGCGAGGCTTTGGCCAATGTCTACTACCAGGCGGTCCGCTGGTTCGGCCGCGAGGCACCCGCTACGGCGGACACGGCGGCCAAGGTGGACGCGGAGGAGATGCCTGTCGAGTACAAGGAGGCTGTTGCTGCGTACGAGGCTGAGGTCAAGAAGGCCCAGGATGAGGGCAAGCTTCCTCAGCTGTGAGCTGAGATGGCCATGTGCAGGCTGGGTAGAAAGTCCGGGGATTTCCTGGCAGTTTCATGAGTAGCTGATCCAGATTGATGTGCTCACTCGCCGTCATTTGAATCCATTGGTCTTGCAACTGTTTCTGTCAGCTTGTGTCATAACACGGATTACCAGATTGCCGTGCATGCAGTTTGACTGGTGGTTTTCCCCAGCGCCAATAATTGAACAGGATAGGTGTCTTGCCGAGTTCTATTCTGATGAGCGATTACATTTGTTGGCAAACATACATAGCGCTTCCTGCATTTCCCGAGCTCAGAGGCCGTGTTGGGTCATCCAGGGCGCAGGAGGGATGAAGAGGTCGACAAGACGATTGTGATCAGGCCAGGGGAACCGCTCCGTGGTGTCTCCAGAGACTTGCTTTTACACAACACCGCTTCTGTACCAAACTCATTTCGCTCGACAGCACCTTGATCTGGCTGTCTATTACCACGTACAGGTACGCCTTTGAAAGTGCAATGCTGTCGTTCTCAGTCTGCGAGATTAGCATCGTAATGGCAGAAGCCCTGACGCCCTTCCATGGATTGGCAAAAGGTCTAAAGAGGGGAGAGCATGAGACGAAAGAAACAACTCATCCCATGCCCTGTTGTCATTCTTCCGATGCCCGCTGTCAGCGGATGTACGTACACGCAACAACATAGAGTTTACAGCCAAGAGCCAGCATACGAGTCATCTGCTGCGAGCGACAATCGCATAAACCGCGCATTAATAGCTCATGCGACCACTGCTACTACAATCACCCACTTTGGACGTGCTCCTTGTCGAAGGCCTGGGGGCGGAGCTGGGAAACCCTCGCCGTCTTCTCCACCGACGGGGCCGTTTGTTTGGCAGCCGCAGGACGGTGCTCCAGATCCGGCAGTTGCTGTTGATGGTGGATCACGGGCTGCAGGAGACGGGGCCGGGGGAAGTTTGGATTCTGGAATATACCCTTGGCAGTCCGTCCGTCCGTCCGTCCGTCCGTCCGCCTGCTCTGACCAGTGACTGATCCCCAGGGGTGCGTTTCCCATCTGGTGTACATACGGATACAGCGCCGGGTATGACCCTCGCCAAGGCATAATAGCCCATGTGCACTTTCATCTCCGTGGTATCAAATGCTACCCTGATGAGCAAGCGAAGACCCAGCCATCCACCCCGGACGGACGTATATACGAAAAGTGGCAGGAAAGACGCCTGATACGGGAGGGACCTTTGACAGCTACGGCTACCCGGGTATCTATCACAGGCGCAAGATCGTCACTGCGCAGCATGCAGAACCGAGTCCGCGTTGGTGTGCAAGCTGTGGCCTTGCTCCAGTCGGGAAGGCAAACCCCCCGTCAGCTGATCAGCCGGTCGGTCGTAGGAGGCAATGAGCGACACGTCTCCGCCGAAGAGGCTCACGGGAGGATCGCAAGCACAGTTGAGACCAGCAACTTACAAGCAGCGGCCGATGGACTGTCAATCAGGGTCCTCCTCGGCTGGCATGTGACTGGATTGGGGCCGGATCTTCACGTTTCTGTGTGTATTCTTCGCTTCATACCGATCCAATATTGCGGCCTGCGCATGAAGCAAGCCCCTCTCTGTAATGAGGCTCTGCAGAGACCACGGATGCGTGTTTCACGGCCATGCGCGGTCAGGCACGATTACGTCGTGCAGTACCATACTATCAAGCCATGGTGCAAGTGAAAAGAGTAAAAGGGCCATGAGCACGCCTTGCCAATGCGGCAGATGTCCGTCAAAAGTTCTTGGAGTGCGTGGGCCGTCTTGGCTAACTTGAAGGCAGGGGGCTCCCCCACGATCATGCGCAGTCAGTCTGGCAGCATTGAATGGTACGCTGGCCGGACGACGTGCGATGCTAGGATTGGACAGAAGAACGACGTGGAGCGATAAGCATCTGCAAGTAAACAGAGACGCTCGATAAGACTCGACATGTTGAGCTAGAAAAGCGAGGGATCTTCGACGTGCGTGTGTCCAGTCCAGCCAAGTGCGGAGGCAAACGAGGAGAAGAGCGAGCGAGCGAGCAGAGGGCTGGAGACGGATTGCAATCCGCTGGGCGGAATTGGATGTTTACTGTGCGTTAGGTACTTTAATCAGCCGCAGAATAGCATGAATGAGATGGAAAAAGATCCAGTTGCTGTATCCGGCAGCTGGGGTAGGCAGATCTTTTGCCAGGTGATTGATTATGCGCCAGCTGGTGGTTGGGCGGCTGATGGATGGATCCACGCCGGCTGGACAGGTGGAAGAACGGCAACAGAAGCGCGAGCAATCGTGAATCCTGAATTCGGTCCCCAGTCAGGTCACATGGGCACTTTCTTTTCGCATTGATGGGTGCCACGGGGTCTGGTGTTTCATGGCCAACGAGGTCTGTGGCCTGTGCAGCGGTGCCTGGATCTCATCATTGAGGATGGACGAGGCGAGGACTGTAGTGACAAGTTAGTTAGTCCATTTGATGACCGAATTCCTGACGCTAAACTAAATGCTGGTGGAGATCGCCTCCTTTGCCTTCTTTGGATCTTTCGACTGCAGTAGCTCCAGACTCGAGGCCCGCTTGGGGCATACTTGCTGTACGCGCAAAAGAACCTTGGCCTGTAACGTTGAAGAGCCGGCGAGGATGGAGGAGAGGACATGTCATCAAGGGGCCGTCTGCCGTCGACGATGCGCCAATCAGCCTGTACGGGTCATCACTCGTATCTAGACTGAATAGAGGCGCGAGCAGCGACTGGGCCACTGGAGATCTCGCGCCTGGCCCGTTTGGGTAGGTATAGATTGGAGATCGGCAGCCCGGCGCAAACAGGCCAAGCAAGTGCCGGGATCTTTGGCCGAGGCCTGCCACTTTGGGGAGGCTGCCCGGCCGCCAGGGACATTTGCTGATGATCGGCACGTCTAGTCTGTGTGTGGGAGAGGACCGAGAGGTAGACTGCTCACTGGCGTCGACGACGATGGGGAGGATGGCCACAGCACCGGACGAGCGAGCATCCACCCGTAAACACCGACTGGCCTGGGGAACGAACTACTCATCATGGATGACTTGCACCGGCCAGACTCCAGAGGCCCAGCCAGTATCATGCGGATCGCTGCCAGAAAGGGGCAGTCCATGAGATACTTTGAGAAAGATAAATAGAGGCCGCACGTCCTCTCTTTCTGTTGCCTCCATCATCCATCATCCAAGCCTCTCCTCCTCAGCCTAGCTAGCATCCTTACCAGCCTCACCAGCCAGCACATCCGCCAGCATGCGTTCCGCCACTCTCCTCGCCCTCCTCCCCCTGGCGCTGGCCGCGCCCTCCATGACCAAGCGCGAGTCGCCCGCGCCCCTCATCGTGCCCCGCGACGCCGACGTGGTCAAGGACAAGTTCATTGTCAAGTTCAAGGACGACATTATGTCCACCAACGCCGTCGGCGCCGCCATCGCCTCCATCAAGGCCGACGCCGATTACCAGTACTCCAAGGCCTTCCGCGGCTTCGCCGCCACCCTGACCGCCGACGAGCTCGAGAACCTGCGCAACGACCCGACCGTCGACTACATTGAGCAGGACGCCGTCATGACCATCTCCAACACCCAGCGCAACGCCCCCTGGGGCCTCGCCCGCATCTCCTCCGCCTCCCCCGGCGGCAGCACCTACACCTACGACGCCTCGGCCGGCGCCGGCACCTGCGCCTACATTGTCGACACGGGCATCGACACGAGCCACCCTGTGCGTCTCCTCTCCTCCCCTCTCCTCTCCTGAGAACTTCCCACTAACACACCCAGGACTTCAACGGCCGCGCCAGCTTCGCCGCCAACTTTGTCGACTCCAACAACGCCGACGGCCAGGGCCACGGCACCCACGTTGCCGGCACCGTCGGCGGCACCACCTACGGCGTGGCCAAGAAGACCACCCTCTACGCCGTCAAGGTCCTCGGCGACGACGGCAGCGGCACCAACTCGGGCGTCATTGCCGGCATGGACTTTGTCTCCGACGCCAACGACGACTGCCCCAACGGCTCCGTCGTCAACATGTCCCTCGGCGGCGGCTACTCGAGCGCCATCAACTCGGCCGCGGCCGGTATTGTCAGCTCGGGCAAGTTCCTCGCCGTCGCCGCTGGCAACGATGGCGTGGATGCCCGCAACTCGTCCCCGGCCTCCGCATCCTCAGCCTGCACGGTCGGTGCCACCGACATTGACGACGTGTTCGCCTACTTTTCCAACTACGGATCCATCGTGGACGTCCTGGCGCCTGTAAGCAGTTCTTCTCTTCTTCCCTGTCGCGCCAGCTGACTAACATACCATAGGGTGTCAACGTTCTCTCTGCCAAGCCCGGTGGTGGCTCGCAGACCCTCAGCGGCACCTCCATGGCCACGCCTCACGTCGCCGGTCTCGGCGCCTACCTCCTCGGCAAAGGCGCCAGCGCCTCCGGCCTCTGCAGCACCATCGCCTCGTCTGGCCTCGACAACGTCATCTACAGCGTCCCCAGGGGCACGGCCAACATTCTCATCAACAACGGCAACCAGTAAGGTAGCCAGCGAGAAAACGAAAGGGGGGAGGACAGATGATACCACTCGCTGCCAGACGGCGAGACTGTCCACCTGGCGGGCTGGCTGGCTCGATGCTGTGATGAATTGGATGACGGGAAGATGAGGACATGGCCTTGTCTTTTTTGCGGTTACGAACTTCCTTTGTACCTAGCACATATCAAACCGTATATAACACTTCGAACATTGTCTATATCGACTTCTGGGGCCTGGTCCGCATAAAGATATTCGACGGCATTTTCCTGTCCTGGAACTCGGCGGGCATGCCATAGTCCATCTCGGGCCCTTCCTGCTGGAAGCCAAACTGGGTGTAGACGTGTCGACCCATGGCCGAGCCCTCGGTCATGAGCTCCAGGTCGCCTCGTCGCTTCGCCTCCTCGACGCCGTACTGCACCATCCTCTTGGCCGCGCCGCGCCCCTGAAAGGCCGGGTCCACGACGCAAATGTCGAGCACGAGCGCAGCGGGGTTGTCGTCGTTGACCTTGGCCCAGATGGCCTCGATGCGCTGCCTGTTGAGAGAGCGCATGATCAGATGGGAAAAGCGCGCCTCCCTCTCGTCGTCGGGGTACTTTTCCTTGGCAGTCTGGAGCTGCTGATCGCTGTTGGGGGGCGTGACGCCGTGGCCCTCGACGCCGCTGTACTGCGTCCAGATGGAGTAGCCGATGATGCGCTCGGTGCCGTCCTCGTCTGTGAGGACGGCTTTCAGGAAGACGGCGTGGGGGATGCCGTTTTTGTCTTTGCCCGTGTCTTTCCACTTCTGGCCCAGCTTCTCTGCGTGCCGTCTGCGGCCCTCGGGTGTGTCCCAGCCCGGGAACATGGCTTGCCAGATGCCATCGGATGTCTGCTCGCCAAAGCCCTTGGCGGCGCATGTAAAGGCGCCGAGAGCGTCTGCCTCGCTTTCCCAGGGGAGCACGCGGACTTAGTTAGTAGAGCCCATGCTGTACTTTGTTCGAGTCAGTGGTGGTGAGGTGTCAAGGGCATGGTTCTACTCTCCCCGCGCGCCTCGGGATGGAAGGAACTGGAGGTGGATCCAAGATGCCAAGTGGCTTCTTGGGGCTGTGCTAGGCTGTAAGGGTCTGGTCGGCGCGGGAGTACTCGCAAAGCCGTTGGAAACACACGCGCATATTATCGTGTTCGGGTTCTATATTCTATCAATATTGAACTTTGAACATCCATGGATGGTCCAACTTGGAAGGTCGCGGTGTCGCGTCCCGCGTCGAGTGCCGTCTTCCGCCTGCTTACCCTGTACCCTTCAAGGACCCCCTGCACACACCCAGATCAAACGTCACTCACGGCTCACCCATGACTCCAGCTTGATTCAAGCCCTCAAGATTGCACTGATCATCATTCCATCTTCAAAGCACACCCGCAAACAACCGCAATGCCTCCCGTCACACAGTACGCACGCCTGACCCTCAAGCCCGGCACAGAGGCCGACGCCTTGGACGAGTCCACCCCGACAGGCAAGATTGTCCAGCGCCGCCTCACAGAGCCGACCACGCAGCCCGACTTCCGCGCCATCCACTACGGCCTCGCCGTCGAGCGACCCTCTGAGCTCTGGGCCTTCCTCGACTGGGATACCGTCGAGCAGCACCAGACGTGGCGCGATTCAGCGTACGTTGTCCTTCTCAACGTTCTGGCAAGCGGACTCACGGCATAGATCCCACGATGACCTGAGAAAGAGCCTCGCGACCATCAGCGACGCGTCCGCCCCCAAGTTCTCCCTGTACATTACGCCTCAACCTACATCTGTCTTCAACGACCCTGCCTACCCCGTGGTCGAGGTCCTCAACGTACTCCTCCCCCCTGACATGGACGAGGCCGCGATGAAGATGGTAGAGGACCGATGGGAGCAGTTTGCCCGCCAGGCGCTTCACCCGCCCGCCCTGTGCGGCAAGATTGCGACAGGCTGGTCGCTGGAGAACAATGCTCCGGTGCGCGACGAGGAGGGCAAGACGGGCAAGGTGTTCCTCGCGTTGATTCAGTGGCCGAGCGTGGACAAGCACATGGAGAATAGGGGGCTGCCCGTGTTCAAGGACAGCATCCACCTGCTGCGCGATCTGCCGGGCCTGCTCAAGATGGACATGTTCCACGTCCACGCCAAGACCAAGACAGCTGCTTGAATGAAGTGCAATCAATGACCATTTTGCATGGTTTGTATTACTTCCGAGGCCTTGCCGTCAGCCTACTCTCCCACATGAACCCACCCTATGTGCTCCCCTATCAAACTTCTACAGCTCATCCTCTCGCTTCGGAACAGTAGGATCATCCAGCCCGTCAAACAAGTCCACGCCCCATTCCCGTCCCGGATTGTTCATCCTCACCTTTCGATCCTGCGTCGCAATCTGCATCATCTCCTCCTCGGCGTACACAATCCTCAGCGCACCCAGGTTCTCCCGGATATACTCCTCATGCACGCTCTTGGGGATCACTACAGTACCCCGCTGCAGACCCCAGGCCAGAACCGCCTGCGGGACCGTCGCGTTCTTCTTATCAGCCATCTGCACCCAGAACGGGTCGTCCAGGATGCTCGGCAGGCCCGAGTCGTAGTGCGGGTTCAGGTTGGCGAGCGGCGAGTAGGCAATGACCCGCATCCCGTGCGCCGTGTGCCAGTCCACGTACTCCTGCTGCTGGAGGTACGGGTGCGTCTCGAACTCGTGCGCGTACGGGCAAATCTCGCACACGGCCAGGATGGCGTCCACGTCCGCCGGCGCAAAGTTGGACATGCCAATGTAGCGGGTCTTGTTGCTCTTGACGAGCGCCTCCATGTCCTTCCACGTCTCCGTGATGGGTCGGCGGGTGTCGACCGTCGTGCCCCGCTTGAAGGCGACGGGCCAGTGCATGAGGTAGAGGTCCAGGTAGTCCAGCTTGAGGTCCTTGAGCGTCTTCTTGATGGCGCGCTCTGGGTGCCGGTGGTCCGTGTTCCACAGCTTGCTCGTGACCCAGAGATCCTTGCGCTTCAGGGAGGATTTCTTGATCCCCTTGCCCACCTGGCGCTCATTGCCTGTGAGGAAGTGTAAGCGCGTGAGCCTGACTGTTGGCCGTTGGGTATCTATCTCACCGTAGACGCGTGCGGCATCAATGTGCGTGTAGCCCGTGTCGAGCGCGTACTTGGCTGCGTGCTTGACCTCTTTCTTGGGAGACAGCCAGGTGCCCAGGCCAATGGCTGGGATGTCGCCGCGCGACTCGACAATCGCGCTCTGGTCACCACCGTCCGCGGCCGCCCCGGGAAGCAGCAGCAGCGATGTCGCGAGGAGGAGGCGTTTGAGCATCATTTCGGCGTCTTCTCAATGATAATCAATGGTTTGATGTAAGAGACAAGTGAGTACAAGGGGATGAGACCCCTCAGACAAGCACTCTATCCCGATGAGGTCGTCATTGCGTGATGGGCGCTGCTTGTTTGACGTCATGCATGGGAGTTTCGGGGATCATCGCTCGACGGATTTATCCGTCTATCACAATCCGAGTGTCAAGTTTACTCATGGTGTCTCGAGTGAGAACTATGAGTCGGTCACCTGTAACTTTGTGAAGTGTACCGTCTAGCAGTCGCAGTCAAGTCACATCTCAGCAGCCATTCCTATATCCATCAATTTTGTAAGTACGAACAAAGTATATACGCTTCCATAAGTATCGTCAGTCAGAAAAAAGTCAGAGCACACGCATCCATCATCCATCTCTTTTCCAGTCGTGGCCATAGTCTCCGGCACTCTGCCGTCAGCCTGTCCAGCTTAACCAGAGGGGTTGCCGTTGAAGGCGAGGTAGTTGGGGCTGCCGCTGCCCACGTTGGAGAGGACGTTCTTGGTCGACAGCGTGCGGAGACGGGCGCAGAGAGCCTCGGCGCCGGGGAAGCCCTCGAGACCGGCGATGTAGGCCCCCAGACCGGCAATGTGGGGAGAGGCCATCGAGGTGCCCGAAAGGGAGCCCTGCGCGTGTTAGTCTTTGGTTACCCAACTTCCTTACAAGAGATTGACTTACAGTGCGGCCGCCGGGCAGGGTCGAGATGATGGAGCTGCCAGGAGCAAAGATGTCGACCAGGCTGCCGTAGTTGGAGAAGCTGGAGCGGCGGTCGGACGAGTCGCTGGCACCAACAGTGCAGGCCGACGGCTCCGAGGCCGGGGAGAAGTTGGCCGCGTTGACGTTGTCGTTGCCGGCGGCGACGGCCAGGAAGATATTGTTGTCGACCATGCGGGCGGCGGCGTTGTTGAGCGAGGCCGAGTAGCCACCACCGAGGGACATGTTGGCGACGACGCCACGGGGGCACGAGCGGCCGCGCGAGTCCGAGGCCACAAAGTCCATGCCCGCGACAATGCCAGAGATGGAGCCGCTGCCGTTGTCGCCGAGGACCTTGACGGCGTAGAGGCTCGTCTTCTTGGCGACACCGTAGGTGCGGCTGCCAATGGTGCCCGCGACGTGGGTGCCGTGGCCCTGGGCGTCGCCGTTGACACCGCCGGCGTAGTTGGCGATCAGGCTTGCGCGGCCCTCAAACTCGGGGTGGCTGGCGTCGATGCCCGTGTCCAGGATGTAGGCGCACGTGCCGGCGCCGGCGCTGTTATCGTAGGTGTACGAGCTGCTGCCGCGCGAGCGCGAGGAGAGGCGGGCCAGACCCCAGGGGGCGCCGCTCTGGGTCACGTAGGCCTCGATCGAGACCATGGCGTCCTCCTCGACAAAGTCGACGTCCGGGTTGGCGCGGAGCGCCTCAACGGTCTCCTCGTCGAGCTTGCCCGAGAAGCCACGGATCAGGGTCTCGTAGACGTGCTCGGGCTCCACCGAGAGGCCGCTGACCGTCTCGTCCACAGCGGACATGGCCACAATGTCCTTGAACTTGACAATGTACTGGCCCTTGATGGCATCGTCGCGCTTGTGGAGAGGCGCAGGCTCGGAGCGCTTGGCGGCGGGCGCACCAAGGACCACCGGCAGGATGGCGAAGAGGACGGACAGACGCATGGTGATGAGTTGGGCTTCGTGGAGGAAGGCTGGTACTGCTGGAGAGAAGGATTGATGAATGCAAAGTGCTGGTGGAGGCTGTTGGGCTCTGATGGGATCGGAGTGAGGAGCAGAGGAAAGATCGTTGAACTGTGGTGAGGATGACCTCTATTTATCCTCATCAGAGTTGCTGTCGTCGTTTCTGCTCAAGACCTCAAGCCAAGGCCTTTGCGAGCAGCGTGTGAGCTTGTGATCCTGCTGTCGTCCACAGTTCACATCCGTATCCAACACCTTCCCAAGGTGGCAGTTGAACAAAAGGTCATGGCGTAGATGCATCTTCTCGAGCGGCCTGCTCTACACCTCGCGGGTCTGGGCATGGCGTCTAGGAAACATTGGGAGCCCAGTGACACGATAGCTTCGAGACGCGAGACCACACGGGGCGGCTGTGCAGAGTAGACAGGGGTAGTCCACGGGAGTTGCACTGCAGATGGGGTTTTGTCCGTCTGTCCGCGTAGCGTCGAGAGACATGGATGGCCAGCCTGGAAGCCATCTCCAGCTTAAAAGGTTGCGATACTGCATGGCGGCGCACTAAGGGTACCTGACTCGGCAGTGGGAGGGAGGTCGGCGTGCAGCTCATCATTGGCTCCACGCCCGCTTTCGGTCGCCTTCCGGGACTTTGTTCATGCGGACTTTGTTCTGTTTCCAGAGATCTAGCACCGATAGAGTAGTCGATATCTTTCGGCCAGAGTGGGCAAACCTGGACATGAACCTCCGGTCCCTCTGACCGGTGGTGATGGAGAGTGAGTGTGTCGAAGGATCGATGCTTCATTCCACTTGGCCGTGACAATGGCAGCTCGTGATGCCTGTTGAACATGTCCGCGCACTGATGTTAGAGCTGCCCCTATAAGAGCCCTTGGCAGCTGCCAACCCCTCAGAGTGTAACGCTGGGCTTTGGCGCCGACTACTTGGCGTCCGTGTTGGGTAAAAGCTTGGTTCAACCCAGGTCTCTCGAGCGTGAATGAATGCGCATACATGTCGTGCCCTGGTCGGACACCCTGATGAACAGTAAACGCCGACCATCACTGCAGGACTTTTTTTCAGATGAGCACACAAAGCCTTGAGTGCCGTCAACATGAAGCCTACTACAAGGCGGTTCGGCCAACGAGCCGGATCGTCCCTTGAGACATGGAAACGAACCAGCGCGACTACCGAGATTGTGTCAACAGCGTTGGGATCAGCGTATAATTCGCGTGGCCTCTGGAGCACAGACATTGGTGCGGTGGGTGTAGCGCAGTAGAGTCCAACCGCACAGGATCAGCTCAACATCATCATGCTCGAGAGTCGAGAAGCGAAAGTCGAGAGGATTCAACCTGCACATGTCCATTTCGCAGATCAACAACTGCCTCTTGCGGAGACTAGCGTTGTCGATCTTCAGAAACCGCCTGCCCGATCCGTGTCTCGACGTCTTGGCTGTGGACTGGCCCCAGGAGTGATATAACGAGGCCATGGCTCAGGTGCAGACGCATGGTACGTTGTGCCTGATCGTGTGCGCGCTCCCGTGGGACTCCTGCAAGACACTCTTTCTGGAAGCCTGCTAGCTCAGAATGATGCGCAAATGCGCCGCGGTGGTAGGTAGTCAGCCAAGACCTTAACATACTCCCACTCTGAAAGGACGGCCATGTTGAGTGAGGGGTACAACAAGTTCTCGAAACACCACTCAAACGCGAGCCCTCCAGCAGCCCAGGCCCAACCTGTGTGTCCGCCGACGTTGTCGGTTGGCCGCTGCAGTCTATATTGCGACGCATTATGCAGAATGGGGCTGTCATGCATGTTTATCCGCACGCGCCTGCACGACCATCTTATCGTGCCCAGGCGTCTTGCGTCGTAGCATTGCGTCCGGGTAATGCTGCACGATGGTCTCTGCGAAGGAATCATGCTCGAATCCTCTCGGTACGCTGCCCGGATCATCACGAGGGATCCTTCAAAACTAAGTTAGCTTTTGAGTTTTTGCGCGATCGGTTCGACCCGGATCGGCTGCGAGGGCACCACAGCGCGTCGGGGCCAACAGCCAGTTGCAAGACGTCGTCCCTCTACGTCCGTCGCTCCGCAGTTCCCAAGCAAGGATCGCATATGCCGTAGAAGACGCGGAGCCGCGACCATTCGCACTGCCATCGCGCCAATAGCGCGCTCAGCTTTGGGGTGAGAGGAGCAGATTTCGGTTGCGAACCTTAAGGTGCGCGTGCTCCACAGAGGGAGCACCCCACGTTCCGTTTGGGAAGGTCTAGATAGTCGTGCAGGCGTAGCCTGGCGATAGCATCAACCATCACCCTGATAATGTCGGTTGCCGTCCCGATCGGGGAGGTCGAACAGCAAAGGCGCATCATGTGGACCATGCACGAGGCTTATCGAATCGCGGGGGCATCGCACGCCATCCTCTCCAAGATAGCCATGAGCAACCATCGCGACTTTCTGGAAGCGCTTCAGAACAAGTGCGAAGCAATGAGGCGTACTGGTCCGAACCGAAGACTGCCCTCCATCACGATCCTAGGCGCTTTCCATGGTCTACGCCGACGAGAGCCGTGTCAACCCATTCCAGACCTGCTGTTTCCGTTTGTTCTTTGTGTATATCGGTCGGCCTGCAGAACCGCGAATGGGTGTGATAGCTACGTTTCAATACAGACACAGCGGCAGAGGCCAGCCGCTCGTGACGCGCTTGACGAGGTGCCCTTGCACGAGCCGTAGACTTTCAACTCAGCATTACGTCGTGTATTGAGCGTTGAGAATGTCCTGATGGCGGCTCCGAATGCTCAAGTGGTGCATGCAGCATATCTGACTCCTGCGGGCAAATGGGCCCGTTAGATATGCCTGCTGCGTGTCGACATCTGTGCATGAAAGAATCCGTGGATTTTCCCTCCTATCATGTCGCAAATGTGTGATTTAGCAGTTGTGCTTCCCGAATCCTGCAGCGTCGCGGTGCGTTTGTCTGGTGGTGGTGGGTGGTAGCACTGCTGCAAGCTCAAGGCGAGTTGTTGTCCCAAGCAGGGAAGTGCTTTGTTCTCGAACACGGACAGGCATCGGCGGTCCTGATGACACGGCGCAACATTTGGTCGGTGGTCGAATTGGGGAATGAGAGAAAGCAAAAGTGAGTCAGTTGAGGTTCAGTCACGATTCACGAAGCACCCGTCGACGCGTTGCCGCTGTGACGTAGGGCAGGGGCCGCCCGCCGATCAGGCACAGGTGACAGACGCACAGGGGGCACGGACCATCGCTCTCGAAGAAGCTGACAACATCACGCACGACGTGAGGAAGTAAGTGCAGATATTTGATTGATTGAGAAGTTACAGAGATAGACGAGCAAGTTTAAGAAGGCTCTTTTGCTCGTCACAATACTTCACTTTCGCGCAAGGCAGCATCACTCAAACACTTCAGCAGAAAGTTCCATACTCCGGGGATAAACTAATTTAACGATTGACCACAACCAACTGGCCATTCCATTATGACCTTGGTAAATATTATATTCTCAGCCAGCGCAAAATAAACGAAAGCGAGAACCAAACGTATACGCGGCCAACGATATTCTATATCAATTAGACTGTGCCGCCCGGATGAGCGAGCATCTTATGGCGAATGATAGGTATAGGGTGGTCAAATCAGGGCCACCCTATAAGGAATCCGTTTTAGAAATCTCCTCGTCAAGTGACTCAAGTCCCAAGACATTCTGCTTCTTGTTCTTCCTCCTCCATAAACCTCAGGTTTGACTTTGCTCCGGGCTTGCGCCCAAGAATTGCCAGGCATGCGCACACTCCAGAGAAGGCGGCTTCTTTTCCTTTGCTTGGGTTTTGGGAAGTTGGTCCGCTTTGGCCAGTGGCCACTGAAGCAGTGAAGAATGAAGATCCGCCTTCACACGACACATGCGCCCTCCCAACGAAACTGACGATGCATCTTATCTCACCTACGGATACTTACCATGCTAGCAGCTATCGTAGCGCCACCACAACTACGGCCTCCCCTCTTTAGAGCGTGCAACCTCAGCGCTCATGACACCAACGCCCACTTGCGTTAATACCCAGCTACTGTCATGAGGACAACCATCTCCATTCTCGCACAACACGTGCTGCGAATTGAAGCCGACAATGATCTCTGCGAAGCTTGCACGATATCAAAATGCCGCTCGAACTGGAAAACGATGTGACCTTACTGGCACCCATCTACCGGCTGCTCTAGTTTAGGGGATCGTCGTCGGCAATTCCCAGCCTCACAATGTCAACACGTGGGAGACCACTGGCGTTGGCAGGCCGACTTGCATGTCACAACAACCCCACTCCTGGCACTACAAGCCATTCATGCATCCAGCCAGAGCAGGGCGATCATTTTTTGGAGGCAAAGGCTTATCACAAGACATGGGCAGAATGGACGTTTGTTCAACACGTGTGGGTTTACAAGGGCGGAGTGGTGTTGTTGGAGGAGGAGAGAATCGATGAGTTATCGTCGTTATAACAAGACGATGGCCAGGCGCATCTCTGTGGGCAGTGGCCGATCTGTAGGCGATTAGATCAAGCAGAAGCTGATCCAGCAGTCGGATCAAAGCGATACCATGGTCCCCAAGCCCTCCATCGCTGGGCAGCTGGCCCTCCTCGCTTCCGTGGCCACTGTCACTGCCGCGCCGGCCCCAGGATTCGCCAGCGACGTTGCCGACAATACGTCTCATGTCTTTGCTCGTGCCGTCAATCCTCCCACCGCGCTGCCCCAGAGCGCCACAGCCAACGACCTTCGGTGGCAGCCAGCGCTCGACTTTGACACGGACGGCTGCTACAACGTCCCAGCCATCGACGCGGCCGGCTACATCGCCGAGGGTCTCGACAACAACTGGACGGACCTCGCGTCCGACTGCAGGGACATGTCCGATCTGGACAACAACAATGTGTACGCCCGTCAACGCTGCAATAATGGCTGGTGCATCTACATGTACGGCTATTACTTTGAAAAGGACGTGGCCATTCCCTACTTTTGGGACGCGGGTCACCGGCATGACTGGGAGCACATTGCCGTCTGGGTCAATGGCGACGGTGCTCAGTATGTGGCAGCGAGTCAACACGGGGGCTGGGAAATCAAGCCGGCCAGCGAGGTGCGGTGGGAGGGCGAGCATCCCAAGGTCGTCTACCACAAGGACGGGCCGTCGACGCACTGCTTCCGCTTTGCGAACACAGGAGACGACAGCGTCGAGAACCACAAGGGCTACTGGTTTCGCGGCTCGCTGGTGAGCTACAACGGGTTTCCGGGCAGCACGCGGGAGAAACTGTTCAGCCACGACTTTGGCAAGGCAACCATTGGTTTCAAGGACTCTACTTTTGAGTCGCATATCGACAAGGCGATCCCGAGTGGCGTGACGTTTGACAGTGGCCGTGATGAAGGTTCTCCTGGCTATCCCTAGGACAGGAGGATGAGCGACGATTTGATGTAGCACTTGATACCCCTGGAATTGACGATTTGATGACGAGCATGAAGTGAATATAGACATAGAGATTGTTTGACCTCGCGAGAGGAAGACAGCCCCTTCAATGGGTTGATCGTTGTTGACGAGCGGTTTTGTAGGCCATGTATGTATCCACGATGTAGATTAGCTTGAAATGCCGTCGATTTGGTCTTTGTTGCTCCTACTTGCTCTGTCCATCTCGAACCTAGGAATTGGATGAGGTAGCACGATACCTGAGCCACCTTTTTAGTGAAGCTGGTGAACGTGGCCCTCACACTTACACGGCCAGATAGTACGATGGCCAGGCTCTAGTTGCACTGCCAGCGGCACGAGGTTGGTCGTTCGCCCTGGCCATGGCTTTCAGGAGACCAGAAGACCAAACGCACAGTAACGGTGCTTTGCACTAGTATATGTACATGTAGATCGTGTAGTCTGCGATGTAATTACACGCTGGGAGGCTAAAGCTTAATTAAAAGTGTATTGTCAATTGAGTTTCCCGCCACGGGAACATGCTCCATCCCCTTTCAGAGTTTATACTGTGGTTTGTTTTGTTAACCCCTGTACTACGTACTCCGTGCTTAGTGTTTACTTCTTCTGATAAATTATAATCGAGTCGTACTTACTCAATACTTCAAGGCAATCCATCGAGGATCAGAGAATAGAGCTGCGTACTGATTACAGTACAGGCCTAGGTCGAAAATGAGGATTCCTCCAGGTAACAGGCTGAAGCTAGAGGCCGCCCGGACTTTTTGGCGGGGCCGCGACAGAAGGCCTTACCACAAATTCCCCTTCTGGGCTCCCGACCGCCCCGCTGATTGGCCTTGGTTGGCAGTGGACTGGATGCTGTCAGCATTCAAATTTCAGGGTCCAGTCCAGTCCTGACAGGGGGCTGTTACTGCTGAGGCCCTGGATAACCAACCGCCTTGTTCAGCATCTCACGTTCTATTAGCAATAGCATCCAGTCTCAAGTGCTCCATCATCGCGAACCACTCGACAGTGCAGGAGAACATGGAAGGACTGGACTCGATTGATGCGCTGCCTGGAGGTTCTCGTCAAGTGGAAGCGGCCGCAGGAATGCAATCCGTAAGATAGTCATGAATTGTCCTGCAATGCTGCTCCCGTGCCATGTCCCACCGCAATCTCCCGCCCCTTTTCCCCCGACGAATCCGTAATATGAGTCTGCAGCGCAGGTGACCGTGACGATGATCCAGTTGTCTCCAGCGCAGGGCCCTTTGTGCGATTCGTTGGACACCGCCAGCCAGGGACTGGCCTCGACTGGAGTTGACGATGCGTCCGCCTCCGACAGCATTGACGAACATGCAAATTTCGGCCGCCCAGTCAACCCACTGGCGAATTTCCTTCCTCTTCCTTTCTTTCCCCCTGTTTCCCATTCCCAACCACGCGCGACGAGCACACTTTCTGACCAAGCGATGAGCAAAGGGTTCCTGGGCCGCCTCTTCGCGCCATCGCGACGACTCTTGGACACGTTCTACTCAGCCATCCCAGGCGGCAGCGCACACGACCACGACGATCATCACCACCACCACCACAGCCATCACCACATGCACCATGTAGAGCGTCCCGCCAGGACGTCCCTCGGGCAGTACGCGCGCAGCTTCCGCCACGCGCTCTTCGCCTCCCGCCTCAACATCCTCCTCGTCTTCGTGCCGGCGGGCGTCGTGACGTACCTGACCAAGGCGCCCCCCGTCGCCGTCTTCATCACCAATTCCATTGCCATCATCCCGCTGTCCGCGCTGCTGACGGACGCGACGGAGCGCATCGCGGCCGACGCGGGCGACACCATTGGCGCGCTGCTCAACATCAGCCTGGGCAACCTGGTCGAACTGATTCTATTGTATGTTTCCTATATTATCTTCAACTCAGTACCTTTATGCGCTAACACCTCGACAGCATGTAAGTCCCACTCACCCACTCACTCACCCAAGACACTCATGTGAGTTTCACTCATGCACGTGCTCACTCATCCACGCAGCGTCGCCCTCGCCAATGGACACACCCGCATCGTCGAGGCCTCCATCCTGGGGTCTATCCTCGTCAACATCCTCCTGATCCTGGGATCTGCCCTCCTCGCCTGCAGCGTCCTCGGCATGGACACCACCTACACCACCGCCGGAACGCAGGTCCTCGGCTCCCTGCTCTTCGTGTCTGTCTTTGCCTTTCTCATGCCCACCGCGTTCGAGTACGCTTTTGACTCGACTGCCGACGTCCACACTGATACGCTCAAGATGAGCCGCATCACCGCCTGCGTCGTCCTGGCCATCTACGTCCTCTACGTCGTCCACGAGCTGCAGGCGCCTACCAAGACGGCCGCGGCCCTCCAGATGAAAACCTTCGATTTTGAGGCCAGCAGCAGCAGCAGCGCGGAACCCGAGACAACACAGATCCCTCCTCAGGGGAACACTGCTGTCGGTGTCACCCATCCCCTGCCGCTCCGCACCATTCGCTTTGCAGACGAGAGTCTCGTCGATACCGCCGACGGCCCGCCGAACGTCTCAACGCGCACCAGTGGAGAGTTTAGCAAGCCGTTCGAGTCTGGCCCGGACAACAATCCACGGACCAGTTTTGGCATGGAGGATGAGGGTCGACGATCTTCTTTCACGGCGGCCCGGACCGCAGCCACTTCAGCCTACCGCCAGTCCGTCTCGCGTGGTCGCTCCATCTCCCTCACCTCCCTCAACGGCCGTCCGAGTCGCGACTCGTCAGTAGGATCCGAGAGTCGCCGAGCCATTATACGCTCCGCCCTGCCCACGATGCGCACGATGCGCAGCTACGACGACGAAGCCTTTGTCGATCTCGCCGAGGGCCTCCCACACCACACGACGCGCGCCATCGAGCGCACCGTGGCCATCCTCGTCCTCATCATCAGCTCGGGCATCATGTCCATGAACGCCGAGTTTCTCGTCTCGACCATTGACCAGATCACGCACGACGGCCACCTGTCCGAGTCCCTCATTGGCCTCATCATCCTGCCCATTGTCGGCAACATGGCCGAGTACATCACCGTCGTCACCGTCGCCTGCCGCGAGAAGCTCGACCTCGCCGTCGCCGTCAGCGTCGGCTCCTCCATCCAGATCGCCCTCTGCGTCGCCCCGCTGACCGTCATGGCCGGCTGGGTCCTCGGCGCCGAGCTCATGCTGACCTTTGACTTTTTCGAAATGGCGGCCCTCATGGGGACCGTCTTGCTGGTGAACATTATCATCCTCAGCGAGAGCTCTGGGGGCGCGCGATCGAATGCCCTTCGTGGAGGGTTAATCTGTGGCTCGTATGCCATTATTACGTGAGTCTTTTGTCTCCTGTTCCCTTTCTTCCCGTACAAAGACTGACTCCCCCAGAATTGGAGCGTATCTGGCTCCCTCACAAGAACCGTAAAGCATTGGGACGGCGTTCATCGTTCACTGCGTGTCACGCAAGCATAGCATATTAATTTCAACGCATGACATTCTTTCGCCTCGCCTGTACATACATACATTACCATAGCACAGCCAATCTTCTTTACTCCTTGGACACGCGGCATTCCGCGGTCGCCTTGACCTCACCGTCCGACTCCGACGTGACAGTGAGCGTGACGACACCCTCGACCTCCGCATCCTCTGTTGCGCCGACGGCGACGTTGGCACTGACGGTCTCGCCAAATTTGGCAGCAACAAGGGCGTTGGGGACCTCGACCCTCCATCCCTCGCCGTTCACTGAGGCCTCGAGACGGAAGATGTCGCTGCCTAGGTACTCGGACGCGTCATCCGGATGCTCGCCGCCCTCGACATAGCTACCGCTGTTGGTCAGGTCGAACGAGCAGAAGACGCCCTTTGTGGTCGGCGTGTTGCCTCGGCCACCGATGGGATGGCCCTCTTTGAGCGTCACGCCAAATTCACTCGCGCCACTGCCAGCGAGGGCCCTGACGCCGACGACGTAGGACAACACGCCTTCCTTGTCGCGCTGCACGCCCAGAACATAAAAGTGCAGGCCATTGGCCTCGTCGACGTGCTCATACGCACTACCCGAGCGCGTGCCAGCGTGGAAGAGCGCGTCAGCCAGCTGGCGATAGTCACCCAGCGTGATCATGACCTCCTCCCCGCTGGGACTCACATAGTCCACCAGCGCAATGTCCTCCGGGTTGGCGTCAATCATCCACTGGAACGGCTGTCGGTCCTCGTCCTTGGACTTGCTGAGCATGACGCCCGCGTCGGGCTGGAACGAGTCGGCGCCCATGCGGTCCACGACTTCCATCTCGTAGTTGTCGTAGCCGCCCCCGTCACAAAAGACATCCGTCTCCGTGTCGCACGCGGGCGCCAGGTCCTCGCCCATCTGCACGCGCAGACCCATGAGGTTCGACTCGACAGAGCGCGCCGTGAGGCGGGCAATGACAAGACCAGACGCGGCGAGACCGTCCCTGGACAGCCGCAGGAGCTTGCCCTCGTCCATGAGACCGAGCTGATACTTGTCGCGGACGGTGTGGAGGGACCCCATGGCCGCGCCTTGCATGGCGGGGATCTGCCAGCGCGTGTGCGGGCCACCGGGCCCGTTGAAGCTACCGCGGCTCATCATGGACCAGGAACCCGTGAAAGAGCGACGCAGCGGGTCGCCGTACGGGTTGTTGTAGTTGTCGCCAATGTCGAGCAGGTGGCTGAGCTCGTGCGCGTAGACACCCATGCCCGAGCTCTCGGCCTGCGTCGAGGAGCCCCCGCCGGCATTGGGCCAGATGCTCGCGGCCGAGGCCCACGACGTCCAGGGGACGTAGCGCGTGGTGCCAGAGTTGGGGTCGTCGTCGTCGCGGATGTCGGCGGGCGGGCCAAAGGCGTCGGGTACGTCGTCGCTGTCAGCCCACTTCATGATGCCAAACTCTTGCCAGGTGCCGGACTCGTCCTGGCCGGCGGAGAGGATGAAGACGAGCTCAAAGGCATCGGCGACGTCGTCACCTACGTCCTCGCGCCAGAGGTTGAGGCCGTCGGTGCGAATGTCCACATTGCAAGTGGCGTTGCCAGGGCACGAGCCCGGGTTCATCCAGTCGTCGATGCCGTACTGGAACGCCCGGTTGGGCATACGATACGCGCCAAAAGCCGTCAGGTCCACGCCGTACTTGCCAGCCGAGTCCTCCATCCAGTACTCGTGCAGGGTGTGGCCCTGGTTGATGTCGCTGGGCGTGTTGAGCAGGTCCCTGTAAAAGGCCGGGACGTCGTCATGGGGGACGTTGGCCGCCAGCGGCTGCGGGTTGCCAAAGACGGTCGAGCCGGCTGGCTGGGTGATGACAAAGGGCTGGTCGTCGTAGTCGAGGAGCACGAGGGCAATGTTGAAGTTGCGCGCGGCGCCCTTGCGCGTGGGATCACTCCAGTTGGTGCCGGGCGGTGGCGTGAAGTCGGCCCAGGTCATGTCGTCCGGGTTGACCCATTCCTGCTTGTCGACAATGGCAAAGGGGTCGCCCTTGGGGATGCACTTGGCAGCCAAGGCGATGCCTGCGAGGGCGAGGATGGAGAGGGACTGCATCTTGGGGATCTTGATGGCAGGCAGCTGGCTGGTCGAGCAGGGAGAGGGAGCACGGCATAGAGCGCGCCTCTATCCTACAGTCCTACCACCTGTATATAAGGACTGTACGAGTGTAACGGTGGCCATTCTTCAGATGTGATGATCGACTGGACCCCGCTCTGCGTAGCATCGCCTGCCCATCTTGCCGGTTCCTCGCATGGTTCATGCTGCCAACAACAAACATGAAGAGTGTGAAAAGAACAAAGTGCCCTTGGGTCAGAGAAGTGACCTGCCGTATGCAGACAGATCTTTGGTTGTCGATGAGGGGTCAGCCAATGACAAAGCCTACGCGGCATGGATCGGGGGTTGCGGTGATAAGAGCCGGTCTTGGCGTCTTAGCAGATCGGGAGGTTGGGGATGGCGGGAGACCCGTGGTCAAAGGAGCTCAGTTCATAACTTCATTCTATACCCACTGGGCAAGGAACATACCCCGGTGCGGACTGCTGCAATGCGCATCGTAAAGGAAAGCCTGAAATTGCAGTAGACTCACTGCTCAACAGATGGCAGGATGTTGAGGTGCCACCAAGCCTCTCACTCCTGAGCGTGACTGTTCACTTTGAGATCAAACTTGCACACCATGGCGCCTAACGGGACCTGTGAGCCATGCATCGACATGTCGAACATGGTAGACATTTCAAAGGACCAGATGGACTTTATTGATACGTCCTTCTTCCAGTCAAACGAATCGCCCGGACCCCAACTCCCCACACCTGCATCCATCATCCAACGCTACGGAGATGGAGGAGCCCGTGTCGTTAAGATAGAGGAACAGAACATGGCAGTGAAGATAAACGACGTATGCTATTTAAGATTAGAAGAAGTCCAGACAATGAGAGCAATCCGATAAGCTTTCCTAAACAAGGAAGTCCCTGTCCCGGAGGTTTTCGGATAGAGAACCTATAGCACCTAGGTCTTTATTTACATGAGCATTATCACTAGCAAAACATTGCGGGAAGCATAGCCGTCGCTCACTAAAGATAAAAAGAAATAGATTCGGCGCGATCTCTCTAGCGTGATTAGGGCGCTAAGGAAGATCCCTCCTAATCCCTCTAACCTGATCGGTACTACACTATCTTTATTTACTAGAGCTATGCTAACATTTGATGACAGAAGGTTCTATCAATAGAGGGACAGTATAAGATAGGTTCTTCAGACTTAATCACGAGGGAGGCCCATTCTCATCCATAAAATCATTCAATAATTGGCTATTCGCTATTACTACTCACCAGACTCCTGGCCCAGATGGAGTTCGCAACCTGGAACATCCTGACTTATATCGGGACTTGTTGCCGGATACCGGGCGTATTTATTTCACACACGGAGATTTAACGTTGGGAAATATCATTGTCTCAGGAGCTCCTGGTGTCCAGAGAGTCAAAGGCATCATTGACTGGGAACAGGCAGGGTGGTATCCCGAGTACTGGGAGTATTGCAAGATGCTCTACGGGGTGGAACTAGGTCATGAGTGGCGCACAGACGACTGGCCCGACAATATTGTCAAGCCTTTTGAGGATGCTTTTTTTGCCTTTGCAGAGTACTCGATGTGGCGCTGTCCATATTAGGCCGATGCGTCCCGCAGACGCTTGGGGGGGGGAACTCGCACATGTAAGCTGGCATTGTTGCATGGACAGACAAGCGAGTAACAAGGAGGGCAGACGGGCAAGCCAATGTCGGATTGACTCCGGCCAAGGGCTTTGGAATCTTACGTGTGAACTTGATCGAGAAAGGTCCGCCTGTATTGTCGAGGTGAGAAACCACGATAGACAGAGGTCTTGCTATGTGCCAAAGAGGCACTCCGAGCGATTGAACATTAGTACTTTAGTGAGCCGTTTGCTAATAAAGTTACTATCGAAGCGTCCCCCGAAACGATTACTCGGGCCAAAACGGATGGCATGGATGGGAAGAAGTAATGATCCTGTTGCAACATTGAAGGTACAGCACGTTGTCTACTATTGTAGTGACAAGATCTAGAAACAGAGCTACGGAAACGCGAGTAAACACGCTAGACCTAGAACCTCTCCGCCGGCTCCTCTGTCTGACTCTGGCGCAGAGCTTATATGCTACACTTGTGAAGTAAAAAACAACAAGCGTGATTGGTTTAGTGGTAAAATTCTCCGTTGCCATCCGAGCAACGTCGGGGAGCCCTGGGTTCGATTCCCAGATCACGCAATGTTTTTGCTTCGCCGAGGCCCGGTCCAGAGGGTCTTTCTTTTGTCTTTTTGATCCTCTGTCCATTGGAGCTGTGCTGTGCCGCCCGAGTGCAACAGCGATGTCTTTTTGACGTTGAGGTCGGAATAGGGGCGCCCTCAGCTGTGACCCTTGTGCGGTCAGACGACCTCTCGACTCTCACGAATCCACGATACACATAAATACTTGCCCTGTTATAATAGTCAGATTGGGAATTGCTGACAAGAAGAACCCTTTTCACCACCTGTGTCTATATCAACTGACTTCATGATGACTTCATTGCTCGTCTACTTCTGTGGAGAAACCCTATCGTGAGCTGTCAAGCGCGGAGGTACGTCCGGCAGGCCCAGGACCATCGATGACGTTCCCAAGGGAGCTGTCACCACTCGCTCACAGCTCAGTATAAGGTCTGGTCGAGTAGATGGGCATCATAGTACCTCACTCCTCCCTAATACTTGTTCACAAATACCCGTGAACCATTCAATCCCACCAATCCCCAATCTACACAACCATGTCTCACCAATCCAGCTCTTCCCACGTTGGCGATCGCAGCGTCTACGAGGACGGCGACCAGAGGAACTACAACCCTTCCGAGGTGCGCGCTGCCGAAAGAGTCAGCGGCATCAACGTGGAGGGGTACAGTAAGTCGCTCAACAAAAGGCAAGCCACGAGCCTCTGCTGACAGGCCTGTAGTGGACAAGAACAAGATCATGAACAAGCTCCAAGACGAAGAGGACCAAAAGCGCACGCAGGACCGCATGCAGCACGAGCCTGGTTTCGCAGTGCGTGACCTTCCCTACTCATGCCCCTGACGACAGGGACTGACGTGCTGACCATCACAAGGCTACCATGCACGGCAACGAGCCCTCCAAGGGCGCCAAGATTGACGCCGAGCTGGCAGAGGAAGAGGCCGAGCTGCTGGCCAAGAAGAAGAACAAGACCGATTCCCTCCCTGGGAAGAAGAACGAGCCTGGCACGGACAAGCACGACATGCACCAGGAGCTGGACGCGGAGATCAAAGCCGAGAGGACCGCGCACTCCAACAGTGGCTCCAATACAGGGCAGCGTGGACCCATGTACGTCGACAGGAAGAACAAATGAGTCTCGTCTTGCTGTGTTGGCATGAGCAAAAGGGTTTTCTTCGCATGAATGCAATAATGAGTACGACTTTGTGACCAACGCCCTGCTTGAAGTGTAAAAGATTTGCAGTAAATAATAGTACCAACTGAGTGAATTACGATCATGACTTGCGCCCATGTGCATCCAGACTGGCCATCCGCACCAGACTGGCCTCGTCGTTGTCGCTGTACTGCACCGCATACGTCTTCTGGTACACGATGCCGGCCCCGCCGCTGCTGCCCTGGATCGAACCATCCGGCGACTCGGCCGACCCCTTGCTGTCCCTCCTCCGCCTGTCGCGGTCGGCGGTGACGACGGCCACGTTCCTGCTCTTCTGCGTGGCCGACTTGTTGCCCGAGGCGTGGCCGTAGCGGTTCTCGTAGTAGTCGGTGCGCCGCGTCGAGCCGGCCAGCTTGGGGAAGATCTTGACGAGCAGCAGACGCACGGTGGGGAGACAGGCGCACGCGACGCCGACGCAGATCTCAATCGTCGACCAGACGGAAATGTCGTAGAACTGCCAGGTGATGTTGCTGCTGGTGGCAAAGTGCACGAGACTCTGCAGGCGGAGGATACTGACGACGGTGACGCTTTGCTCGTGTTAGTCACGGACTTTCTTGGCAACAGGACAATCATCACACTTACAATGTGCCGACGCAGAACATGAGCGCCACGCCCACCTTCTTCTTCCAGTGCAGCTGCAGCGCGCGCAGCTCCCACAGGGGGATGGCGAGGATCCACACGTCGAGGCAGATGTTGATGATGGCGTTGGACCAGGCGATGGCGTTGGCCTCGAGACAGCTGCCCTCGTGCAGGCCGTCCCACTTGAGCCAGAAGTAGTTGACGGGCCGGCACTGGAAGATGGCGAGGATGACATAGCAGGTGCCCCAGGCGCTGGCGAACCAAAAGGTGCCCCAGAGAAGGCGTTGCGTGTTGCGGGCGGGGAAGATGCGCATGTAGAAGGCGATGATGCTCAGCTTGACCAGCGTCGTCTCGACAAAGTACATAATGGCCATGCCGTAAAAGTACTTGAGCATGAGGGTGATGTCGCTGTGGGCGACGGTCCAGATGTCGCGCCCCAGACCGTGCTTGGTGGTGCCGAAGAGGGTGATGCAGGCGGAGGGGACGGTGGCGATGATGGTGGCCACGATGAGCCAGTCGTCCAGGCCGAGCTCGGTCTGCATGTAGACCATCTTGTAGACGAAGCGGATGACGACAAAGACGATGCCCATGACGATCATGGCGATGGTGAGGATGACGTGCGACTCGGCCTTGTCACGGACAGGCGCGTGGCAGCTTGTGGCGCTGACATTCTTGGTGGCTGTTTCGGGCTCGTCAGGACATTGGACTCAGATGGAAGTTGGCAACACGTACTCAGCGAGTCTGGGATTGTGCAGGACTTGGAGACACATTCGGTGACGAGTCCCTGGAAGTTGTCGCTCGTGCAGATGCATGTCTGGTTCGTGGGGGCGCATATCCCTTGGGACATGGCTTCGATAATACATCCTTGCTGGGGAACCATCAGCACAGCCCATCCTGTCGAGGATTCACGGCATGGCACCTACCGCGCACTCTGGATACACACTCAGGGCCGAAGCGGCATCCTGGCACAAAACCGCGGGCAGCAAGGCCGTCAGCAACACGGCCGCCGCCCTGAACGAAGACAACAACATGGCTGGTGAGATGTGGTGTGAGGTTCGTCGTGACAGGACCAGGGAGTTTCTGGAGGACCCGGGCTCCCGGTGCAGCTGGGAATGCCAGAGATGTATATGTGTGTGATATCTGGACTAGATCGACCCTGACGTCTGGCGTGCGTCCCACCCCACCCCCTCCACTTGTCCGTCAGGGGTCGAAAGTCGAGCAGCACGCTATGCTCTCTGATCGCCCAGTCAGGACTAGAGTCACTAGACGCGTATCCGCACCTGAAGATCGTCGCGTCGGGTGCGTCCCATCACATCTTGGCCCCCTGTTCGACCAGTGTCCGGTGTCCCTTACCTCCCGCGCCCCTTGTTGCTCTAGCCTCTAATACTCCGTACGTACTCGCCCAATGCATTGTCCACTGATGTTACGGTAGCAGTATATCCACAAGGCCAAGGTCCCAAGGCTTCAGTTGGTCCGCTAGGGCGAGGTTGACCTCTCCCCACTGGGTCCGTCTGTCATTTGATGTGTCCAGGGGTGATGAGATCGTACGGGGAGCTAGCCTCAGCTAGGTCTGTCGCAGACTTTGACGCCACGCGGGTCCCCTGCACCAGAGCGTGAGCGAGCGAGCGAGGTACGTACGTGTTCGCATTCACAAGACATTAGGCGGCCCTGTCACCTCGGCGCCACGGCCGGTATGCAGTTAGGCTGTGAGCATATGCAGGCAAGGTGCGGCTGCCCAAATAGGCAGTGGCCAGGACGGGCAGACGGCTGGCCGTACATATCGAGGGGCCCATTGGCAGTTGTTGCGGTGCGGAACGATTCCATAATTGGTAGGCTTCCCGAATGGCTGGGACTTTGCTGCTGCGAGCCTTGCGAGGTGATGGCGATGGACTACTACGTACAGTACGTAGAGTGATGTGGTGTGGGTGGTGCGGTGGGTTCAAGCTGCCGCCAGACAGACCGTCCAGAACGTTAGGGCACTTTGCAGTCATACCTCGGTCCGTTCATTGGTAGCCAGTCACGACATTAGCCGTGAAAGTGGCAACCATCGGCGCTGGCTCAGGCCTCTCTGTAGATGGTCTCGGTCGACAGGCACGGCACTTACTGGCCTCGCTCAGGGCTTCTGCCCACGGTTCCACGTGGCACTCGGCGATCTGGACGCTCAATCTGGCAATGATCCTAACTGCTCATCCACCTTGGTCTGCTTGCACCGTCGCGGTAGCATGGATACGAGACAGGTCATTTGCTCATCGACGGGACCTTGTTGCCTGGGTGCGAGTTTTGCCGGTGCGAAAATGACTCGACGGGCGTATTGTAGACTAGACTAGTGTGCAATCGCGCGGTGGCTTGGACGCGGCAGCAAAAATGCGACACTAAAAGTAAATATCGCCCGAGGACCCAGACTCCAGCTCCAAGACTCTGCTTATGGTGTGGCATGACTGCGGTCACAGCGTCAAACAGGGGTGGTTTGGCTGCTGAAACGCCTGCATGTGAGCTATATGTCGGAGAAAAGACCGCGGGACGAAGATTAAATTCCACAGCCCAGGGCAGAATCTATGTAGATGATAGATCAAATGAACATCAAGAGATGGCGAGATTGCGGATCTGCGTTTGGGACGAGTCCAGTCGGCAACGTCTGCCGGCAGTGAGGCCCAGCGAGGCGGAGACCTTTTCGCTCTTCTTTTTCTCCCTTTCTTCATTTTCATTTTTTGGGTCTTTGCTACGTAATTATTAGCTTGCTGCCCTCTGCGGCGTATTGAAGCAATTTCAGCTGTTCGCTGGCGGGCCTCGAAATGGAGCATCGACCGGCGTTATCGAGCCACCCTAGCCCATCTGCGGCTTTCACAGAATACAGCATGGCTGGCACTTGGCAGTGATCAAGGCACAGTCGATGTGGCTTTCAGGCTTTAAGCTTGCCCGGAAATATACCCAGCTCGTCGTTCGTTCGGGAGCCATCCGCGGCCCCCGGCGACGGACATTTTGTCTTTTTTTTTTTGTCTTGGCTCCAAGCCAAGCCTTGGACGAGACTCGAATTGAATCTTATTCTTGGCTGCGTCTTGATTGAGCGTTCAGTAACTTCAGTTGGCATGGCTTGCATCGTCCGCCAATAGTGACCGTTTCGTAATATGTACGGAAGTCCGTATCGGGCTTCTTCACGCCCTCCTCGCTTGGTGAAAGGCGCCATGATCATTAATGTCCGGTCCTTTCGATAGTCTTTGGCGGGGAAGAGTCGCGCTTCGCTCTTCTCAACCGAGTAATGGGAGACCCTGCCTCCCACAGAACATGACTTCTCTGGCAGTGTCTATCAGCGTCGGCGGAGAAAGATGAATCGTCGACAATGCCCAGACGCCTGGCCTTGTTTCGTGGTGGGAGGCGGAAAACAGGTTCGGCTCTGGAAATCTTGATTCGTAATCCATGGCGGCCTGTCCATGGAATGATTACCCTACAGTCTGTCGACAAGCCACCACCGCACTGGTCGACGCCTCGAAAGATTGCCGCTTACGCAGTCTCTAATGAGATAGGCGATCGGAAATTGAAATGAAGATATTCGCAGCATTTAGCCAGACAAATCACAGTCAAGGCGCTTTTTGTGGTGTTCTACGCAGACTTTGTCCATGGTCTCGTTTGGATGCGCATCAGGATGACCAAAAAGAGAGTCCTCATCAACACTTGACGTATGGTCACTGATGAGTAGCGAAAGAACATGAGGAGTTCCCCATGGGATTGCAACTTCTCGTCTCGCATTATAGAGTTTCGAGGACATTGTTAACATCATTCCGCTAATTCCAGTCTACATAGGTGTCAACTGGGCGTCAGGTCAAATCACGGACATGAAGGGGTCCATCTCCACTTGAATCGCCCGAAGGATTCACTTGTCAAAAATGACATGTAATTTGTGTCCAAAACCGATAGTAGTCTATGTAAAGTTATTGTTAGCCTGTTATAGGCTCCATCTCATCTAGTTTGCGGGTGTACCCGGTGATATCCTTACATGTATTTTCTTCAGCACATACCGCCGATTGACACCCGCGCAGAGGCTTTCGACTGAGAAGAGGTTCACGCCAACAATCCCGACAAATGGACGCCGAATGCTTCAGAAATCCTGGCCTACGCTGGGAGCCGGATTTATCCCGCCTGCGGACGTTGCGTGTTCACGTCTGTACCCAGTGCATCAATAAGTTAGGCACGTCTCGTCCCATGCAATGACCGGATGCAAGACGGGTCTGATGTTTGGGGCCCGATCACAAGGCCTTGCGCTCTAATAAATTCTAATATGTATCCAATCATTTGCTTCCTGCCAACGACATCGGGGTATTATAATGCTCCTCGCTCACATGCATCGCTTCTCCTCGCCTGCCCCTCTCAACCACAGCACACCGTGGCCTCGTCGATGCCAGCAGGGGCCCGGTCCACCTCGAGATTCTGCACGTCAATCTTCACGACCAGCCAGTCGCAGAGAAACTTGCCCAAGCCGGCACCCAAAAACACCGAGATGATAATGTAGCCGTTGAAGTACATGACCAGCAACATGACAATGTACGCACCGCCATAGGTGACGGCATGCAGCAGAGCGCGGATGAACTGCTGCAGCACAGTGGCGCGGTACGTGATCGTAGGGGTGTACGGCTCCGTCGAGCCACCGCAACCCTTGGCTGCGAGGCTCGTGCCGTGGGCGCATGCTTGACGCTGGAACTGCCGTGTGAGGAAGGCATCGTACTCCCTGCCGAGGCGACGCGAGAACTCAATGAGGACGGCCAGCAACATGACGCCGATGCACGTGGCTGCCATCATGCCCTGGTTTTCGATCCGCCATGACTCGGAGAGGAAGCAGGCGTCTATCGTGTTCCAGTTCCAGAGCATCTGTATCATGTGAGCTTGGGAGTCGTTGGCAGAGACGACCTCGCGCATACCTCAATTTTGCAATCGGCGGTGTCGCCCATATCCATGCCTGAGTGGTCCATCTTGTCGGCTGTGAGATGATTTCTGGCTGGCTTTGTCCTGTCTAGTCGGGTACTGAGGTCGGGTGATGAAGTGAAGCGTGGTGCACTGGTGGTCTTATGAGTCGAAGCCAAGAGAACGATGTCTGCTTGTTGTGCGCCAATCGCAATGGCGTACGTAGAGAAGGCAATTGACGAGCGCGATTGAGGGCGTTTTGCACAGCGAAGTGTAACGAAATTGGAAGCTAGTACTTGTATGTGTCGACTATCAGAAGAGGAAGCCACGCTCTTGATGAAGACGTGATGCGTGCGGAGCAGTGAGCAAGTTCATGATACTGGTGGCGCAAGATTAGGTTTTGAGTGTCCTGGGCATGCAGGCAGGTTGCAGGGTAGTCGAGACAGATCCCGGTCGTGGAGGGGCTGGGCCATCCACAGAGGGGTACTTGTGCATGCTGGACCGGGGTATTATGCTGTTTTGTGCCATCTTGTGCAGACCCGCCCAAAGAAACTTGCTCAAACATTCTCAACTGCCTCAACTTCGCCTCCTCAGAGTCCTCGCCAACCTGCGCGCAGCAAGATTTGCCCACTTTCTGCGAAACAACCGCCTCAATGGCCCTCTCGCCGGCGGTCTGGCCGCTGGCCGAATTAGGAAGAGCGGATAGTCATCGACCATGTGCCCGGATCGCTAAATACTCCCGACTGCCAACTCCCGAGCCTGGTTGTGCAGCCTGTCTTTTAACCTTAATTCCTTCCCTCTTCACCACGACGATCTGATCCAGGCGAGCCAGACATTTCTTTCCCCCGCCACTCGCAATGGCCTCTCTCGTCCCTCGTCATATCCAGGACATGGACACGGCCGAGTCGCTGGTCCCTTACTGGGGCTACGCTGACCGCGTCATGCCATGCACCAACGACCCCGGGTCCTGCGAGTACCTCGATGTCGTGTATGGCGCACATGCCATCGGCATGCGCTACATGGGGATCATCTGGCTGACCATTGGCGGCATCATCCTCGTCTGGGCCATGACTAAGCACCTTGGGCGCCCGGACTCTGTGTCAACCTCCATCGCAATGGACGGTGAAAAGGGGCAACCGGTCTACGTGCGACCAGGTGGTCTGCGCAAGGTCCGACATGCCATGGCCTCGTTCACACGGCGCTACCTCCTCCCCGATGCTGTGCGTGTCATCTTTGGTCGCACCACCCGCTTCCAGGTCTTCACCCTGTGCGCCTTGACGGCCTACCTTACCATCTTCACATTTGCGGGCATCACGTACAAGACCTGGATCACACCCGTCAAGGACATGGAGGGCGTCTACAACACGGCGTACCAGTCTCGGCCCCTGGTCGGACCGCATTGGTGTCATCGCATACGCCCTGACGCCGCTCTCCATTCTCCTCGCCAGTCGCGAGTCGATCCTGTCCCTGCTCCTCGGTGTCCCGTACCAGAGCTTCAACTTCCTCCATCGCTGGACGGGCTATCTCATCTTTGTCCAGAGTGCCCTCCACACCATTGGGTGGTGCATCATTGAGATTCGCCTGTATCAACCCCAGCCCAAGGTTGGTCTGGGATGGATTGTCCAGACATACATGGTCTGGGGCCTCGTGGCCATGCTGCTGCTCACAATCCTTTTCCTCCTCAGCACACCGTGGGGCATCCGCATGACTGGCTACGAGACCTTCCGCAAGCTTCACTACGTTCTTGCCATGGTGTACATTGGTGCCTGCTGGGGCCACTGGGCCCAGCTCAAGTGCTTCCTGCTGCCGGCCCTGATCTTCTGGTTCATGGACCGCGGCGCGCGTCTCATCCGGTCTGCCTTCCTGCACTACCACCGTCTCCCATGCGGTAACATGGGCTTCCGTGCCTGCGAGAGCACCATCACCCTCTTCCCCGACCCAGAAGCCGGCGACCTTGTCCGCCTGGACTTGGAGAACGACCAGGACGCCTGGCCCGTCGGCCACCACTTCTACCTGACCTTTACCGAGTGCAGCATCTGGCAATCCCACCCCTTCACGCCCCTCAACGCACCCGTCGTCCGCAACGGAAAGGTCCGCCACAGCTACATCCTGCGCGCCAAAGGCGGCGAGACCAAAAAGGTCGCCCAGCTGGCCGCCAAAAAGGTCGCGGCCGGCGCCAAGCCCACCACCCCCGTCATCCTCACCGGCCCCTACGGCGAGCAGAACATGCTCGACGTCAACCCGTCGACCAACATTATTTGCGTCGCCGGCGGCACTGGTATTGCCTATGTGCTTCCCGTGCTGCTCGAGCTCGCGCGCCAGGCCATCTCCCCCAACCGTCGCGTCGAGCTCATCTGGGCCATGCGCCACGCCAGCAACACCGCCTGGGTGCAGGAGGAGCTCGATCTTCTACACAAGGTCTCCAAAGCCCTCAACCTCAAGGTCCGTCTGTTTGCGACGCGCGACATGACCCCTGGCAGCGCCAGCAGCAACGCCTCGATCAAGGGGAATGACGAGAAGAAGACGGACTCCAAGGAGGTGGGCGGCGTCACGACGCAAGCTGTCGGCTCCGCCTCGTCGTCGTCGTCGGATGAGATTGGCTGCGACTGCGGCGACGCCACGCCGGTCCGCAAGACGGGCGGTGCCGACTTTGACGTCGAGCGCCACCCGGATCTGACCAAGCTGGTCAACGACTTTGTCAATGCCACGTCGTCCGGGTCCACGACGGTGTTTGCCAGTGGGCCTGGCGGCATGATCTCCGATCTGCGGAGTATTGTGGCCCAGTGCAATGACGGAGGCAAGGTGTGGGCTGGCGAGGAGCGCTTTGATGTCAAGCTTGTTTGTGACGATCGTCTTGAGTGGTGATACCCCCATAGAAGAATAGCGTGCATTTGTCTTTGTACAAAATAATTGGATCTTGTTGTGTACTTGCGGCGTCATATACTATTCCTTGATATGTCCGTCACGGGTTGTGCACCCTGCACTGTTGTATCCTCTTGCTTGGTGCCTCTTTGGATTACCTGGTTACTCGTGCGTGGCGCTCGTTAATAGGCTTCGTATCCTGCCCGGCTCGTCTGACCTAATTTTAGGGAGTTTGTTCTTGATGTTGAAGGGAGAGAGGGATTCCCAATCAACTTGTCTGTTTGCCCGGCACAAGAATTTCTCCAATGTACTTTGCCCATAAGGCGAGCTCACCGGCTACGTAGTCCATGTGGCTTGAGAGTTGGATCTCTTACATCGGCACAGACAAGGTAAATCAGAGAAATAACCTATTGTACATTTGATCTAGATGCGATCGTGCTTGTAAAAAGACGCAAGCTTCTATTTGCCCAGTATCATCCTGGAGGATCATGCTAGTGCCCCGAGTGCCTGTATACACCACGCGCGCAGAACCGTAACCCGTCTATTAGAGACCACTTGCACCCAGATAGCCAACAATAGCCGCGAATGCAGCACCCGCCCCGAACACGGCGACGGATTCCGTCGGGCTTGTCAGTGCCACCGCCACGCAACTGAGGACATCCAGGGTATCAGTCAAGCAATTGCCCCAGAGGAGGACTCTCTGCATGTCGTCCTTGGACGATTTTTCGCCCGACATGAGCTTGCGGAAGGTGGCGTAGGTGAGCGTGGCAATGGCGAGCTCGCGGGCGCCAAACAACCGAGGCAGCAGGCCACCATTGGGGGGAGGGAGCAGCATGAGCTTCGCGGCGAGATTGGGGGCGACTAGCGTATGCACCCCAACGAGCCCTCGGACAATGTAGAGGGTAGGGACGATGAAGCTGCCGAGTGAGGAGATTTTGGCGGTGCCAGTGGGCGAGGCTTTTGGGTTGGTGGAAGAGGCCATGTTGGAATGACTGGAGTGGACGGGGACAGTCAACTCTGTGTTTGGTGATGACTGAGCGTTTGGTGAGAGGTACAAGGTCTTCGATATGTTTGCAGTTCCTGAGGAAGCATGTAGCAAATTGATCGCTTTGCTGATGGCGAATCACCGGGGACTCTTATATCTCACGAGCATAATGTGTGGCGAAGACGGGTGGGTGAAGCGTAACGGTTAAGCATAACGCAGCATTCTGCTAGCGCCAAAGCCTGTTGATAGACTTCAAAGTCCAACGACCTGAGTTTATATTCCATTGACTTCCACTAGTCTCAGTTAGCTTCTAGAAAGGCTCCCTTTTTGGTGCCCCTTTTTCTGCCGGCGTGCTGTTTCCATATCACATCACGTTCCACGTGGATGTTATCATAAGGTACGAGCGAGTCAATGCACGTCAGCGGTGTCGGTGACCTGTATTCTGCCAGTCCCTATAGGGAATACTTTCTTATAAGAATAAAACCCTCCGGGCTAATACGGTGCTCGTGTCGTTCGGGTGCACAATGTTGAACCCCCAGGTCTCTGCCATGTTCTGCCACGGTGCTTAGCCCCCGCTAATCGACCTGAAAGACGGTGAATGATTAGAAAAGTTTGATCCAAATTTCTGAGCTATTTTTTATCTTGCGACGACGGCTGCAGAAATGGAGGAATCAGAGTAAGCGCGCTGAATCGTGGTGGCCCAAACAGGCGATGTTCGAGAGCGCCAAGCGAGTACCACAGGCAGCTTGACGTAAAACTACACCGTCAGTCATGGACAAAACCAGGGGTGCTTCATTAATAAACGCATCAGAGAATCACTCCTCAGCTGCGTACATGTACATGTTTTTGCAAGACCAGTCTCTTATATGTTAACGCTGGTGTACCCCCCTAGCTGCCACTCGACCAAAAGCGTACCTTGGCCGACACCCGAGAATAGTCAGTCGCTCGTCCGATGCCAAGTTGCATGAATCAGCTCATATTCCATATTTGTCGATGCGGTTTCATCCATGTGCAGCCAGTTGGCATAGGTAGGGCCGATGACCATAGCGAGAGCCGCACCATGTCCATGTCCATGTGACTGGAGCCCCGAAAATTGTCTCATCCAGCACCTGAACAGTTTGCGTACGTAGTAATTACTTTTCAGACTCGGTCATAGATCCGGGGCCCCGCAACCTGGGGAACTTTCAGCCAGCTCGGCCATCGACACGACGTCAATGGCGCCTGAACCCTGACACCCAGGCTTGAGAGATCGGCCGGCCCGACGAGGCACACAAAGGCAGTTGAGGCTTTAGCAGCCCGCAAACTCCTCGGCTAGAGAAAAAAAAAAAGGATGGTCACAGGATCTTGCAGACAAGACGCGGGGTGAATCTTGGCTCCAATGATGCCACTGCCGAGGTCTACTAAGGTCGGCTGCTTTTGCCAGATCAGGTACCGCGGACTGCCAGCTTCTGCATTGGGGCAAGCCTCCATCCACGACGAGCGGAAGCGGCAATTCCCTGATGGCCGTCGGAGACGTCTCGGTGGCTTTTCATCGAAAGATGGGGTGCAGATATGGGGTACAGTCGCGCTGCAAGGCTAAATCCTCGCTGGGAGAGGGTTGATTGGAGGACGCGTGCATGATCGAGGGCATTGCCGCAGTACATACGTAGACGTACAGGTAGCAAAACCCCGCGACAATAATGAGCTCTTTTCATGGACAGGCACAAGGTGGTTCGAATATCACTGAGCTTACTATCTACATGTATGATAGCAATGTTTCCCTTGTGAGTGACGAACTAGCTTGGCGACGGGAGTCGGCGTATGCCACGAGAGCAGCGTGGGGAAGATCGCAGCAATCTCCCCAGATGCTCCCACTCCTTATCAAATGAAACATGAACAGACAAATGCCCGCCTATTCGATCCCATATGCCTCGATCCAGTCGGCCCGTTTCGGCACCTAACCCTGTTGAGCATCTGGGACACTCTCTACCCTTTAGCGCCTCCCCTCCAATTCACGTCTCCATGTTTCTCCATGTTTCTCCATCCATGATCCCTCCATTTCCACTCGAACACACTGATTAGCATGAAAACTACCCTGCTCCTCAGGCTCCTGATCATCTTGACGACCGGGCCGACGAGTGGAGTTATTGTCCTGCTCGTGCCTGCGCATCCGCCAAGTGGCATCGCTGCATCTGGCAACTGTCGACTATTATGTATGCCCTCCTTCGACTAGCCTAGTAACTACGGACATGTAGGCTCATTCGCATGGGCATGTCCGCGCCACCGGACGGAGCTCCAGACACTATGGGATATGTATATAAATGAGCTCATGTCCAGCTCGAGTTTCCAAGATGCTGCTATCACCACCTCCATCATCCAGTCCCCTTCGCAACGGCCTTCATCATGAAGTCTGCTCTTGCACTGCTGGCTGCGGCCATGTTTTCGGGCGCCCTCGCTGCCGACAAGGCCGCGTGGAAGTCCCGCAACATCTACTTCGCCCTGACCGATCGTGTGGCTCGCAGTGCCAGCGACAATGGCGGTGGCTCTTGCGGTAACCTTGGACAGTACTGCGGTGGCACGTTCCAGGGTCTGCAGTCCAAGCTGGACTACATCAAGGGCATGGGCTTTGATGCCATCTGGATCACGCCCGTCGTCGCTAGTAAGTAAAGCATTGCCCTATGCGCTCAGCTCTATTCCAATCAGACACATGAACTCACACAAAACGTAGACACCGACGGTGGCTATCACGGCTACTGGGCCAAGGATCTCTACTCGGTCAACTCCAACTACGGCACAGCCGATGACCTCAAGAGCCTTGTCAACGCAGCCCACGACAAGGGCATGTATGTCATGATCGACGTGGTGGCCAACCACATGGGCGCGGGCGACGTCTCCAGCTACAGCCCCGAGCCGCTCAACCAGCAGTCGTCCTACCACTCGCGCTGCGACATCAACTACGACAACCAGAACTCCGTCGAGCAGTGCTGGATCGCCGGGCTGCCCGACATCAAGACGACGGACTCCAACATCCGCAACGTCATGCACGAGTGGATCTCCTGGTTCGTCGGCGAGTACGGCTTCGACGGCGTCCGCTGCGACACGGTCAAGCACGTCGAGAAGGACTTTTGGCCAAGTTTCTCCGAGGCCGCCGGCGTCTACACCATTGGCGAGGTCTGGGACGGGGACCCGAACTACCTCGCAGGGTACGACGGCCTCCTGGGCGGTCTCCTCAACTACGCCACCTACTACCCCATGAACCGCTTCTACCAGCAGCAGGGGTCCAGCCAGGACCTCGTCGACATGATCGACACGGTCAGCCAGACCTTCCAGGACCCCGCCGCGCTCGGCACGTTCCTCGACAACCACGACAACCCCCGCTGGCTCAACCAGCGCAACGACTGGGCCCTGTTCAAGAACGCCCTCGCCTTTGTCATCCTGTCCCGCGGCATCCCCATTGTCTACTACGGCTCCGAGCAGGGCTACGCCGGCGGCAGCGACCCGGCGAACCGCGAGGATCTCTGGCGGAGCAGCTTCGACACTAATGCCGACCTGTACAAGTTCATTGCCGCCCTCGGCTCCGTGCGCCAGGATGCCGGTGGCCTCGGCGGCAACGACCACGAGCACCTGTACGTCGAGGACGGCGCGTACGCCTGGTCGCGTCTCGGTGGTGACCTGATTGTCCTGACCACCAATGGTGGCAGCGGCTACGCGGGCCAGCACTGCATCTACTCCCGCCGCAGCAACGGCTCCTGGAACGTCGCCATGGGTGGCTCTGGCACGGTGACTGCGGACGGGTCTGGTGTTGTCTGCGTGGACGTCCAGTACGGTCTGCCCGTTGTGCTGCGCGCCCGCTAAGGGTGTTTGGTGCTGGATGCTGCTGGTGTTAAGGGGAGGAAAAGTGAAATGAGTACATGTGGAACGGCCTGTCCAAGCGCAACGTGTGAATATGCGAACCATTTATATGCGATTTTTCTGTCGATATACAATTCAACTGTCTATATTCAATTCAATTTTCAATACAATCTGCATGGGCCACTTCTCTGACACGTTGGCGTCCTCGTGACAAATTCCGCTTGTTTCAGACACTGTCGGCAGACATGTCTCAACGCTGTCTGGCAGAGGAACACTGTCTCGGTCATTCTAACCCTCCGCCCGCCCTTGATTCTCATCGCTAAAGATGATACGCATGGCCATTTTCTCCGACATCTTTCGTTTCTCCTATTGTTTCTGACGTGACCTTCTTCCCCTCGCAGAGCTGGATCCCATGGCGACAGCCACAACCACTGCCATCGAGACCACACCAACAACCCCTCAAGACTTTGGCTACAAGCTGCCATATCTCTTGCGTCGCTTCAGCCGCTTCATCATGTCCGAATCACTCGTTCTGGAGTCCACGCCCGCAGATGGCGTCCGGGTGCTCGCCTTCAACCGTCCGACGAAGCGCAACGCTCTCTCCCAGGACCTGATTCGCGAGTTTCTCGACAAACTGTCTGTGGCTTCTGTGGACGCCAACATAAAAACAATTGTGATCACGGGGAGTTCCTCCTTTTTCTGCGGTAAGCGTCGAGCTCGAGTCGGGTCTAGAATAGGACTGATGCATGAACTTTTCACAGCTGGCGCCGACATTAAAGAAATCTCCGTCTTGGATGCTGAAGCTGCTCGGCAAACTCGGTATCTTGAGAACCTCTGTCAGGGGCTACAGAATGTTCGCAAGCCCATGATCGCCGCTGTCGAGGGCATGGCGGTGAGTGTGCCTCTGACTTGAGTAGAGCCGTCGTACGAACTAAAGACTTGCAGCTCGGAGGAGGGTTCGAGGTCGCTCTCGCTGTACGTATCCGCAGAATCATGGCCATTAGCGCGTTTGGCTTCACGAAAGCTGACCCAAGTCCAGTGTGACATGATATACGCATCCAACACCAGCAAGTTTGGGCTCCCTGAAGTCAGCATCGGTCTGCTGCCTGGCGCCGGCGGAACGCAGAGGTTGACCAACGCCGTCGGAAAGTACAAGGTCAGCTATCCTCCGTTTTCTATGCGGCCAGACTCGACTGACAGCTGCACCAGGCAATGCACATGATTCTACTGGGAAGCCCCAGCTCAGCGCAAGAGGCCCGCGCGGCAGGTCTTGTAGCCGACACCTTTGAAGCGGGGACCGTGCTGGATAATGTGATGCACGTGGCGGCCAGATTGACTTCCATGAGCCCAACGGCGCTTTCACTGGCGAAAGAGGCGATATGTCGATGTGAGTATGGGAAGTGAATGATGGACATGCGCTGACCTCGGTGGTAGCCGACAACCTTGGACGCGATGACGAGTTTGAACGTAGTCTGTACTATCATGCGTTCGGCACGGCGGACAAGAGAGAAGGCGTGGGTGCTTTTCTAGAGAAGAGAGCGCCGAGTTGGGCGCGGTGAAGGGGCGTGTCGGGGCTGGCCTGGAGTGCACGTCGATGTCACCGTCGGTCGGAGTACTCTAAATTCGGTTAGATGGACGATGCAGAGAATAGGACAAAATGCTTCTATTGTTCTTGCGGTCATGTGCCAGCGATTCTTTCGTCTAGTCGATGGGTACTGTCTACGAGTCAATCCTCTAGAGTTCCGTCTTGCCCTTGGCGGGGAGCTGCTTGGCCAAGAAAGCCTCAACCTCGCTGAGCTCCTCCAAGCATGCAGAATGCTCCATGCCCCTAGAACGAGTTAGCCACAGCTCCCAAGAGCAGCCAGATCCACTTACCTGTACACCTTCATCGTCACATCGTAGCCCAAATCCTTGAGGGCCTTTTCACTGTCCTGGGCCAGGGGGAAGCGCACCAACGGGTCCATATCGCCGTGGCCCATGAGAACCGGCGTTGCCTTGTTGATATTGGACGCGGGAACGAGGTCCTTGAAGCTTTGGGAGAGGAGTAGCCAAGAGGAGAGACCGACGATGCCACCCAGCTTGACGGAGGCCGTGAGACCACTCAGAATGCTCATGGCGCCACCCTGAGAGAAACCGCCAAGAATGATGCGATCAGAGGGTATGCCTGCATTGATCTCCTCCTGGATGAGACCGTGGAAGTATCCCTGCGACCGGAGGATCCCAGGCCGATCCTCATCAACAGACTTGGCGCCGAGGGAGTCAACGGAGTAACCGAGGGCTTTGATGTCGAACCAGCCGGGCATGGGGAAGCCGCCATTCTGCGGTGTCTGGTTCAGTCTCTTTGGACAATATGGCGTTTAATCTGCTCAACGCGGCCGACTCACCATGGTAATGGGGATCGTGGGCGCGTGGGGCAGGATAAACTTGACCTCATCGAGGCGGTTGCGCGAACGCTTCATCTGCTCCACAGCGTCGGCCCAGCCATGACCGGTGTCACCCAGGCCGTGGATGAAGATGACGGTCGCCGTGTGGCGGCTGGTGGCCGGAAGCACCAAGGGCGCCATGCGCCGGATTGAAGACATCTGATGATATCAGGGGTCGCTGCGTGGACTCTGAAGAGAATGGGAGCTACAGGGGGGAGCAATTGTTGACGTCGGGGACAAGATGACGAGAGCTCAGGGTCCATGTTAGCTTCGACGCCATCAAACGGCGGCTCGGCTAATCGGCGGCTTTCAAGTCATCACACTGAGTATAGGGTAGCTAACTACCCACTTGGCTCCGCTGGTTGATTATCTGACTTACCCTAGACATCAATGATAGTCTTGTCTCTCCCTCAGAGCGGCATCAAATTGACGGATGTCTGTACCTCTATTCACTCACTGAGATCAAAAGGTCCCCCATTTGGCGGAGATACGCAACTTGAAATTATTTCCGTCAACAACCACCAAGGAGGGGCTCCATGATGTTATGAGATCCACATGAGATGCGGCAAAAACGTCATGCTCAGCTTCATATTTACTCCAAGTCTTAATTGACTCCTAAAATTATATTCATCGAGTGTGCCGTTTATCATTCTACGAAACACGTCGACGTAAACCCAGGACAACACAAACTTACAGCAGCGGTACACACACAATGGTCTGCACCACCACCTTTAAGTTGAACACGGTTAAGTACATCGTGCCTTCAATCACCACACGCTGACAACGCCGCAGGGCACCAATTCCCGGCAGTAGGCCTGGGAACATGGCAAGGTCAGCAGATCCCTATCCAGTGCTTCACCTGAAGTGAAAGAAGACGATTACCAACCGTCACAGGCAAAGGGACAGTCGATGACGAGAACGCACTCGAGTCCTCCATCATCCACGCGCTCCAGTCGGGGTACCGTCTCATCGACACCGCACAGCTCTACGGCACCGAGCATGTCGTCGGCCGTGCCATCCGCAACTCGGGCATCCCCCGCTCCGAGATTACCGTCGTCACCAAGTTCTGGGGCCAGTGGCACCACGATCCCGCCGCAGCCCTCCAGATCTCGCTCAACGAGCTGGACATTGAGTACATTGATGTCTTCCTCATGCACTGGCCGTGGGCGACGACGCCCGATCGGAAGCCGCTCCGCAAAGACGAGAGCCCGACATTCAAGGAGACGTGGGCCATGATGGAGGGTCTGGTTGGCGACAAGTGCAGGGCGATTGGTGTCAGCAACTTTACGCAAAAGACGCTGGACGAGCTGGCGGAGACGGCCAAGATCACCCCTGCGATCAACCAGGTCGAGTTGCACGCATTGAATCCGAACCATAAGCTGGTCGAGTACTGTCACGAAAAGGGCATTGTCGTCATGAGCTGGGCGTAGGGCACCACCAAATGGACTAACCCATGTTCCATTGCTGACCAGATTTCTAGTACCCTTGGCGGCGGCGGAAACAGCGACACGAAAGAGGTCATCCTCGGCCACGAGCTCTTCACCTCCATTGCGCAGGCGCACGGTTGCTCCACGGGCGTCGTCTCGCTCTCGTGGGCTGTGCAGCGCGGCATCAACGTCATCCCGAAGAGTGGCAGTCACAAGCGCATCGAGGAGAACATTGCCCTGGTCACCTTGACGGATGAGGAGATGGACACGATCAACAACGCCCACAAGACGATCAAGTCCTATCGCCTGGCCAAGGACATTCAGGGTCTCCGGATGAAGGTCGACGGGAAGGACTCGCTGCAAATGTGGACGTGGCAGGACTTTGGATGGGAGGATGAGAGTGGCAACTGGCTGACATAGATAGGGTAAACTGCCAAAGAGCCCTCAAGCGAGTGACGACATTGCCCGGTCAACAGTGACGCCTTGTGTTTGATGGAAATGTGGTGTAGGGTAATTCTCGACTGACCGACGGTGATGGTTCTAACTTCTAGTCTGAGATTTGAACGACATGAGAAACCAACACTGTCGCGCAAGGCCTCGATGTCTTTACACATGTGTTCGTCTAACGATCATGTACGTCATCGTGTAATCCTCCACTAGAGTGACCCGGACTCCGAAAGACCGAGGTGGTGATGTTTCATGGGTATGTGCGCTGCGGTGGATATCGTATCGTACGTTCATCGCTTCGACCTAGTGCCTGCCCGGTCTCAAATTTACCAAGAGTCCGAAGATTAAGCTCAAAAAAACTCGCTAATTTTCCTCCCCTTGAAGTCTAAAACTTTAATTCGGACACCAACGGGCCTTGGCACGTGGTGATGGCCAAGCTCACTGTCGGGCGCCGCGGACGCCGATGGACAAACTGCATCTACGGATTCTTATTGCGGCGCCCGCGGGGGACCGCTGAGCAAACTCACAGATGATTGCGTCTGTACAAAGATGTTACGGCCTCCTTCTCGAGAGTATGATTTGGCTTTTTCAAATCAGTTTGCTTGTTTCTTGCCTGGTTCCCAGACAAGACTGGTGAACAGTCAACCGCAGACAATCAAACCCAAGGACCGACAAAGGACGACGCGCAGAGTCGCGACTCGCGAAAGACTGAACCGACGAGCAGCGACTTTCACTTTCACAGACCCAGGCGCCTATCATGGCTGCCACTCTGGAGGAGAAGACATCGATCGGGGAACCCCAGCCCCATGGCAGCGACTCGACACTCCCCAAAAATGAAGGCATCGAGGCAGCCAGTGCCGCGCCCGAACCCAAGCCCGATGAACCGCAGGAGATGGCTGGCTGGCAAGCCTACTGGGTAAGAAAGCACGCTCTGCGATTTCTGCTGCGGCTGACACGAACCAGAGGATATTCCGGTACGCTGGCACATTCGAGTACAGCCTCCAAGGCATCGCCACCGTGGCCGCCATTGGCTCAGGCGCGGGTGTCGCCCTCCAGAACCTCATCTTTGGCGAGTTCGTCACGGTGATTGTGGACTTTACGTCGGGCGCCTCGTCGCCCTCCGCCTTTCGTGGCGACGTCGCCCGACTCGCGCTGTACTTTGTATACCTCGGCATCGCCCGCTTCTTCCTGACGTACACCTTCAACGTCCTGCTCACCTACTGCGCGTACCGGATGGTGCGCAACATCCGACACGACTACATCCGCTCCGCGCTGTCGCAAGAGGTGGCCTACTACGACTTTGGCACGGGGGGCTCCATCGCGACGCAGGCCACGTCCAACGGCAAGCTCATCCAGGGCGGTGTCGCCGAGAAGTTGGGTCTCACCGTCCAAGGTCTCTCCACGTTCATCACGGCGTTTATCATCGCGTTTGTGACCAACGCCAGGCTCACGGGCATCTGCCTGTGCATCGCGCCCGCCACCATTGTGGTCATGGGCGTCGTGTCCTTCATCGAGGCCGGCCACGAGACCAAGATTCTCGAAATCTACTCGCAAGCCAACTCCTTCGCCGAGGGGGTCCTCGCCAGCGCCCGGACGGTCCACGCCTTTGAGATGCGCGCGCGGCTCGTCCGCAAGTTCGACACGTACCTCGAGGAGGCACACCACGTCGGCAGCAAAATCTCGATGCTCTTTGGGCTCATGTTCTCGGCCGAGTACACCATCATCTACCTGGGGTTCGCGCTCGCCTTCTGGCAGGGCGTCCGCATGCTGGCCAATGGCGAAATTACAAAATCCGGCGAGGTCTTTACGGTTCTGCTGTCCGTCGTCATCGGCGCCCTCAGCCTGACCATGCTGGCGCCGTACTCCATCGATTTTACGCGTGCCGCCTCGGGTGCCGCGCAGCTCTTTGTGCTCATTGACCGCCCATCGCAGATCAGCCCCTTCAACGAGGCGGGAGAGTCTCCCTCCTCCGTCGAGGGCCACATTGAGCTGCGAAATGTGCACTTTTCCTACCCAACGCGCCCGGGCATCACGGTACTGGACGAATTCACCCTCAACGTCCCTGCTGGCAAGGTCACTGCCCTCGTTGGGCAGAGCGGCTCCGGCAAGAGTACTATTGTCGGACTTCTCGAGAGATGGTACACTCCCCAATCCGGCAGCATCAAGCTTGACGGCCGACCCATTGAGTCACTGAACGTCAACTGGCTACGAAGAAATGCACGCCTGGTCCAGCAAGAGCCTGTTCTCTTCCAAGGGTCTGTCTACGACAACATTGCCCACGGCCTGGTCGGCACGTCTCTGGAGCATGCACCACGGGAGGAGAAGATGGCTCGGGTCGTGGAGGCCGCTCAGCTCGCCTTTGCGCACGACTTTGTCTCCGAGCTACCACAAGGTTATGACACCAACATTGGCCAGCGCGGCAGCCTCCTATCCGGTGGACAGAAGCAGCGTGTCGCCATAGCCCGCGCTGTCGTGTCACAGCCCAAGATTCTCCTCCTCGACGAGGCCACGAGCGCGCTCGACCCTCACGCTGAGGGCGTGGTCCAGCAGGCCCTCGATCGCGCGTCTGAGGGCCGCACCACGATTGTCATCGCCCACAAACTGGCGACGATCCGCAAGGCTGATAACATTGTCGTCATGACCAAGGGAAAGATTGTCGAGCAGGGCACCCATGAAGGATTGATTGCCCAGGACGGAGCATACGCTCGTCTCGTCAGGGTGCAGAGCTTAACCATGTCCAACAATTCGGAAGACAAGAAGATCGACGAAGATGCTTCGACCTCGGACGAGGAGAACGTGGACCCTGCGGATTTGACAAAATCCCTGACGCGATACGCAACCGAGCAACAGGCCAGGATGGAGGCCCAGAAGGAACGTGACAACTACGAGCGGTACAAAGAGCAGAGTTTCCTCACCGTGGTCTGGCGTCTGATCATCGAGAACCCCCAGGTCAAATGGTCCTTTTTCATGGCATTCGTCGGTTGCGTGGGTGCCGCGGCCGCCTTTCCCGGGCAGGCCATCCTCATGGCGAACATGGTAAGCGTCTTCAAGCTCAAAGGCGCCGCCATGGCGTCACGCGGCGACTTCTTTGCGACCATGTACATTGTCCTCGCCGCGGGCTGTCTGCTCACCTACTTTGTGCTCGGCTACTCGACCAACACCGTCTCCCAGTTTCTGACACACAAGTTTCGTCGCCAGATGTTTGACGATATACTGCGTCAAGATCTGCAGTTCTTTGACCGCCCGGAGAACAACGTGGGTGCCTTGACGAGTCGCGTTGATTCCAACCCCCAGGCTGTGCTGGAGCTCATGGGGTTCAACATTGGCCTCATCCTCATCGCAGTGCTCAACGTGGCGGCGTGCAGCATCCTCGGCATCGCGCACAGCTGGAAACTTGGCCTCGTCGTCGTCTTTGCCGGTCTGCCGCCTCTCCTCGGCAGCGGTTGGCTCAAAGTTCGCTTCGACGTCAAGCTCGACCATCAGATTGCCAAGAAGAACGCCACCAGCGCCTCCATAGCCTCCGAGGCCGTTAACGCCATCCGCACGGTGTCCTCCCTGACCATTGAGAGGGATATCCTGGACCGATACACGGCCGAGCTGGACCACGCCATCAACTCCTCGCGCAAGCCGCTGGCGTCCATGATGATCTGCTTTGCGTTCACGCAGTCAATTGAGTACTGGTTCATGGCCCTCGGTTTCTGGTACGGCTGCCGCCTCGTGTCCTTTGGCGAGATAACCATGTACGACTTTTTCGTCGCCTTTATGGGCGTCTTCCTCTCGGGCCAAGCGACCTCCCAGCTTTTCCAGTTCTCCACGAGCGTGACAAAGGGCAAGAATGCTGCCAACTACATCTTTTGGCTGCACAGCCTGCAACCCACCGTGCAGGAGACGCCCGAGAGCAAGGACAATGCCCCTGAAGCGGGAGGGCCCGTGTCCGTCGACCACCTGCGCTTCTCATACCCTCTCCGACCGGATGCACAGGTGCTCCGGGGCGTCGACCTCGAGATAGGCAAGGGACAGTTTGTCGCCTTGGTGGGTGCTTCGGGCTGTGGAAAGTCCACCATGATCGCCATGCTCGAGCGTTTCTACGACCCGTCCACGGGCACGATCCGCATCGGAGACGACGCCCTTCCCTCCTTGAACCCACGTCTGTACCGTCGCATCGTCTCGCTCGTTCAGCAGGAGCCTACCCTCTTCCAGGGCACGATCCGCGACAACATTGCCCTGGGCATTGACCAGCCCGACGACGCCAATGACACGTCCGTCTCGGATGAGAAAATCGAGGCTGCTCTTCGCGCCGCCAACGCGTGGGACTTTGTGTGCTCCCTGCCAGACGGCGTGTCGACACCGACAGGCAGCAATGGCACACAGCTCTCGGGCGGACAGCGGCAGCGCATCGCCATTGCGCGCTCCCTGATCCGCGATCCGTCCATTCTGCTGCTGGACGAGGCGACGTCCGCCCTGGACACGGAGTCGGAGAAGATTGTGCAGGGTGTCCTGGCGGAAGCGGCCAAGGCCGGGAATCGGATCACAGTGGCTGTTGCGCATCGTCTGAGTACCATTAAGGATGCCGACGTGATCTGTGTCTTCTACGGGGGCAGGATCGTGGAGAAGGGCACGCATGCCGAGTTGGTTGCGCAGAAGGGGCTGTACAGGAAGATGTGCGAGGCGCAGAACTTGGACTAGACTATCAATTCGTGTTGTTATAATAGCGCTGCGGTAAAGATTACTTAATAGATATTAGGAGGATTGTCATACTATACAAGCGATGCAATACACATGTACTCTTCTGTACACCTCATTCGTCAACGTACACTCTGGGGAACAAGCTCGCCCAGCACCTGATCTAGATGGCGTCCTACACTGAAGTGCGTCTCGCCCTCAAACTCCGTCAATCGACTCCCCTTTAGTCGCCTCGCCATGTCGCGAATCCACCCAATGGGCGCATTCACATCCTCGGCCCCGTGCCATATGAGAATCGGGTCGTAGGCAACGTCCTCTAGGTCAAACCCCCAGTGCGTCGACAGCAACACCGCCTCCTGCACCGTGGCCGCCGGACCCTGCGCGAAGCCCTCGAGCAAGATTCTGACCATGAGCTCGCGCTCTTCCTGAAGGGACATTGTCGGCTCTTCCTTGGCATTCTCGCGCTGCGCAGCGAGCCAAGCATCGAGACGACGCGCGCCAGCTTCTGTCTGTGCTATCCATCGCGCAAGGCCCACCATGGACGAGCCCGCGAGTTTAAGCACACCAGGCGTCCACAGCGCCGCGTAATGAACCATCTTGGATTGCAT